AATATTCCGACGGAATTCCGAGGAAACATAAAATTTGTGTTTCGTCGGAATTCCATCGGAATCCCATCGGAATTTTCCGAGGAACTGCGTGGCCGTCGGAAGTTTCCTCGGGATATGCCCTGTTTTCTTGTAGTGAGAGGAATGGTTTGTTTGCAGTTTCCGTCATGCAAAAGAGACTGTTTCCGATATTCCATGACGACGGCTTGGCGGTGAATTAACCCTAGATGATAATGTATAAAAATAAAACAATAGTATTACCAAGATATATATATATATACAGAAAGAAGGAAAAAGTGCACAAAAATAAGGATAAAGATTGATACATTTTAATTAACTGTTTTAGAAAAAAATTGATACATTTTAAATTTTTGAAAAAAAAAGATTGATACTTTCTTTTTTCTTTCCATAAAATACCACTTGTTTTTTTTTTTATCAACAAATCATCTATAGCAATCTCAATTAATGTTGAAAATTTGTGTGTTTTTAATTATGTAACTATTAAAACCAAAGATTGTGTCTTTTTAATCATGTTGGTTGTGTCTTTTCAAGTATATAACTATTAAAAATGGTTGAGAAAGAATGTTCAGATATTTCATATCATATTAAAAAATTTAGATATATTTTCTTATATTTAAAATATATTTAAACTCTTAACTAATGTTAAGAATCATGTATTTTCATTGTAAAAGATATATTAGTTTTTTTTTAAGTTGTTAATATATGCAGTGTCTTTCTATAATTATGGTATTTTTTATAATGATGTGTATTTTCAAAAATTTATTGTAATGATATCATTTAAACTAACTATCTATAATCTTAAAAGTCATGACTATTCCTATAACTATAGATGGGACAGTTGTTGAGATATTTTACATTTTAAAAATTAATTAGTTTTTTATAATGAAAAGACACAACTCCTAAAACTATAATTGTAGAAAGATATTTATTATTTGAGATTTTTAAACTTTTCCAATAGTTGCATGATAGGAAAACAAAACTAATTTAAGTTTTATGAAAATATAAAAATCTTATAATGAGAAGACACTACTATTAAAACTAATAAAGAAATTTATTAAGATAGCATTACTACTTAAATAAAACCAATAGTTGCATGTTAAAAATGTAGAATACACTTATTGAAGTATTTTAAACACTTTTAAAAAGTTTTTCAATAGTTGCATGTTGGAAAAACAAATTAATCTCAGTTCTCTATTTATGAAATTCTTAAAATTAATAACTAGAGCATGATTAACCCTACCTCTTAAAGGGTTCTTATGAGGCGGGTCTCACAGTTTTATTAAAAACACCCTTTAAATTTCTTCTGCAAAAGGTGCCTCTTATTCTATTGTTACACTGTTCGTGGGTTCCAACGACATGGCGGTCCGCGATTAATTTGTTTTTAATTTTTTTTTTGTTTTTTTTAAATCAGACAATAAAAGTTAAGAGCCAAATTTTGGCTCTAAGGTTTAATGGTGCTCCTATAGAAAATTGCTTATTTAGATATTATAACTATTTAAAAAAATTCAATAGTTGCATGTTGGAAAACAAAACTAATCAGTTTTTTTTTCTAAAAGACACAACTCTATTAATAATAAGAATCATTTTAAATGTGTATGGATGCAACTTTTCATTTTAACATTGTGTATTTCCACTTTAAGAGTTGTATTGGTTTACAAGAAGTTGTCAAAATGTAGAAATATGTATCTATTCATTTTAACATGTCTTTTGATCATAAAATTTGTATTATTGTAAAGCCTTTAAAGTTTAAAGCCTTTTATTCCCCTCAAATAGGCACATAGTCTGAAGATATAACACTAGAATATTAAGAGGGCTAAAGTGTAGGAGAAAAATGAATCGATGGAGAAAGTAGCAGATTATAGGAAGCTATATTAGGGATGTGTATAATCTTCAACAAGGACGAGGTGAGTGAGTTATTTTCCCGGAAGCATTTCTTTCAGACAAGCTTGTCTGGGTAGATGGTTCGGGATTAATCACACCACGTGTCCTCTTTGTAGATCCATCCTTTAGTTATGGATCATACTTTGTGAAGGAGACTTGGATGTTTATTTTTCACTAAATTTCCTTGAATGGCTCTGCCTTTGTAGTGGAAGTGGACTAGCTACTTCATTTGAGTTAGTATGGTTTTAATGGTCGATCAAGTTAAATTTGAGCTAAATAAGATAATAAAAAGTAGTAATTCTATTAAAATTTCAAATGATAGTCATTATCTAGTACACCGGTTTTGTTGCACTACCAAATAAAAGCAGGATACATAATACTTAGGACACAATCACATGATACAATTTTACATATCCTGGAAATTCTCTATGCTATCTGAAGATAAACAATAAGTTTTCCAGGATGAAACAAGATGGTGGTGATCATGTCCACTTGTTGAATTTCAGGTGCTCTAGTTTGATGAAATTATCTGCTTCTTTGTCAATGTCCTCATCTTTTGCCATACTATCACTCTTCACCTTCCTTTTATGATGCGACGACACCTTCATCACGTTACTCAAGTCTTCGTATTCCATAACTTGCCTCGGCTTCTCAGCCATGGATCCCCTGTGGAGGTGAAGGTGAAGGTGACAGCGATGGTGATGGTGATGGTGATGATGAGAGTTATGCTCAAGGAAGGTACCAAATACCATTTTTTTCTGAGAAAAGGGCTTGTTTGCTCTGTACTTTATGTTAAATATACATTTGAAATCATCAGAAGTACTATATATATATATATAAGACATGTTATAGGATTGAAGTCTAATGATAAGGCTGAATCCGATACCTAGTTTTACTTTTCCCGTTATGTCCCGTTTGGAATAATTAAATAGCTTATTCCAGGTTTGGCCAAAATTCTTTAAATTTATAGATTGTGCACTTTCTACTGTTGTATAACTTTATGGTTTAATATTTGTAAATAACAAAAGATTGGCACACGTGATTAAAAAAGAAAGAGTACAATGGAAAACTGAAGAGGTGGGCGAATGGAATTAGAGGATAGTTGCTATTACGAACGAGAATAGATGCTCATGCACAGAAAAATAGTACACGAAAGTAACTGCTGGTTATTCAAGGCACTAGATGCCTTTTATCAACTGATCAAAGTGGCGTGTGCTGACCGCAACTTTAGGAAAGAACATTGGAAAAATACATGTGGAATGGTTTCTTCAATCATGCATGTTGATAGAAATTGCATCTAATGCTTGCAAATATTGAAGAGTCTCTTAACACAGACCACGTAACCTTTCGGGTGGGTCTTTGATCCATCCTTTTCACGAAGACTTTAAGTATAGTTCGATATTCTTCGTCGAGATATTGCTACTTTAATTGGCACAACTATTTTGCATGAATAATGATTATACTCTGTATCATCTTGTGAGATTCTAATATCTATTATATTAAAAGAGAAGTCATGACTCACTTCATGTGTGATATTTTAGTTTGGCCCATCTTTAGAGTTTTCTAAAATTTTACATAACATTATAATATCTTTTCATATCTTTAATTTTGTTTGAAATACAAATAAATAATTTTAAGAAAATTCTAACAAAATCTTTTAAAAATCTTTTAGAATATTTTTCAAGATATATTTTCAAAAATTATTTGATTAAAATTTTAATTATCATAAAATATAATTAAAATTTTAATTCATTTTTAATTTATAAACAAAAAATTAAATTATGTAAAATACTTTTAATAATATCTCAAAATTTTGTTTATGTATTATGTAGGTCCAACTTAATTAATTTTTACATAGATTTCAAATTTAGAAATACAACAAAATTTATAAATTAGTAATCTTACATAATAATGTTTTAAAAATTATTACAAAAATACAAATTTATAAATTTTATATAATAATATTATAAGTCACATAAAATGATTATAAAATTGAATAGCTTAAATAATCAAATTATGCTTATTTATTGATAAATTTTATTATATAATTTCAAATATTTTCGTATTAAAATACCCGCACGGTTGTGCGGGTCGAAATCTAGTATGTTATTAATGGCCGTTAGCCCAGTGGCGGAGCCACAGCTTCGGGACCCATGTGATATCAAACTATATTCCAATACAGTATGAATTCACTTTTCTATATGTTAGAAAAAAAGAAAAATGAAACCAAACTGTATTGAGAAAAAATTGTTCTTAAACAAAATTTCTTTGAAAATTAAGATTTATTTCATTAAAACCAGAATCCAAACTATTTTTTTTTTTTAAATAACTTTTTAAAATTTTAGTTTGACTATCATTGCTTATAATTTGAGAAATGAAAAAAATATATCCAAAACCAACTAAAATTCAGAATGAACATTTATCAGCTACCAATAAGACAAATATTTTTCTATCAACAAATTAGTCATGTCTCTATAAGTTGAATAGTCAGTAATTATATATGTATTGCTATATTTTCTTGGAAATGATAAGCCTATATATTTAGGTTTTAACTGATTCAATACAGCTACAATCAACACAACTATGACATATGAATAAACATAACGTGTTATATGCGTCAACTTAATTCAAATCTGCATACTGCATATAGCACGGTATGTTAAAGTAATAATTTCTAATTGTTTATGTTAATACTCCAACTGCATTTTTAATGAACTATGAATGCAAGTGAAGCAATTGGGGAAGTTTTATAGTTTAAAATTATGGTTACCGTTGATTTTGTACTTGTTAGACCACCTCCATTGGTGAATTTTGGAGGAGTCTTTAACTTTAAAAAAATAAAATAATAATAAATAAATTATGAGTTCTATTGAATAGTTTTTTTTTATTTTTTGATCAAACAAGATTGCATTAAAACGGTAGAGTTCTACCCCTCAAGGAGGGGGTTGATTACAGACGAAGCGAGCACTGATTTAGCCAACCAATCAGCCTCAGAGTTAAAATTACGGGAGATGAAATGAAAGGAAATACAGTCAAAGAAATGCAGAAAATGATAGATATCAAACATGATACCGAACAGTTCAGGATGATACTCTCCCATCTTCAAGAGCTTGATCAGGGATAGAGAATCCGAGAGAACCGCCAGGGATCGGACGTTTGAATAAACGGCCAAAGAGACCGCACGATGAACAGCAATGGCCTCTGCCATTAAAGCTGATGAGACATGGGGATACGATTCCGCAAAATTGCACATCGCAGAATTGGGAGGAACAAGCTCTGTATTTTCACAGAAAAAGCCGCCGATGCCACACCTCCCAGAGGTGTCATCCCAAGAAGCATCAACTTTGCAGACCAGAATACCTGGTTGAAGCGTCGGCGGGGGGTAAGACTGTCGAAGAGGAGGACGATGGTGGGGATGGCCGGGAAGAACCAGACCCCTGTTTTCAACTTGTGCATTACTCCATTCTTTTGCATCCTTGATACTCTTTAGAATAATCTCCTGAGCAGTGAAAATTCTATTCTCAAAGACAAGCTTATTCCTAGCTTTCCATAGATTCCACATAATCCAAGGCCACAAAGGTGAGATCAAACCAACCGGGGAAAGAGGGGTAAAAGAATCTCCCTGTTTAATCAATTCGGACATGGAGGTAAGATTAGTAGACGGACTGTTTTTGATAGGGGCCAGGTTCCAGACTTCTGTCGCAAGGGGGCAAGTTAGAAAAACATGAATATCATCCTCATGAACTCCACACACCTTACAATTAAAACCCGGCACCCCTCTCTTCTCTAAGTTGGAGCTGACTGGTATGGCATTTTTGATTACCCTCCAGAGAAAATCTTTCAGTTTTGGACCTGTCTTAATATTCCAAATATGTTTCATCCAATTGACAGGTTCAGATAATGATTCAGAATCGCAAGTCGCCAGCCTCTTGATGCCATAACCAGTCTTTGTTGAGTATTGTCCGGACTTTTCTGGTAGCCACACCAGTGTATCAATAGATGGAGCTGAGCTCGTTTTTATTCGCAAAATATCATCCTCATACTGAGGTAAAACTCTTCTGATCTTCTCCAACTACCATTGATTAGTGAGTGGACAAAGTAGATCACTCACCATCATCGCCTGGTTTTCTGAACTTACCGGACCCATAGGTTTACATGGCGATTTGAATGAAAGCCATGGGTCCTTCCAGATACAGATGCTCTCTCCATTCCCTACCGCCCAGCTTAGTCCCCTGCGTAAGATGTCTCTCCCCGCTAATACACTGCGCCAACCATGGGAGGCATTGGTGGGTATCGAGCACTCAAGGAAGGAGGAATGTGTCGCATATTTCCCTAATAGAACCCGAGCCAGTAGAGAGTGTGGATCTTTCAGGAGTCTCCAACCAATTTTTGCAAGTAGGGCCTCATTAAATATTTCTATATCTCTAAATCCCAGCCCTCCCGCATACTTTTGTAAGGTCAAAGTATCCCACGCAACCCAACACATTTTCCTCTTCTCCGGTGTAGCATCCCACCAAAAGCGAGTAAGTAGGGACTGAATTTGCTTACATAGGGAGAGTGGTAGTTTGAAACAAGACATAGCATGACATGGCATTGCGGAGAGCACTGATTTGAGCATCACTTGCTTTCCAGCTCCTGAGAGAGTCCGAGTAGTCCAGCTGTGCGCCTTTTGGCGTATCCTATCCAGGATAGATGCAAAAATATCTCTCTTTTTGCGCCCGAATTGCTCGGGAAGACCAAGGTACTTTCCTACTCCTCCCTCAGCATAAATCTCCAGGGTTTCCTTTACCCGAGTTCTAGTATCCTCCGGTGTCTTGGTAGAAAAGGTAATAGCAGATTTTTGGGGATTAATCCGTTGACCCGAAACTGCTTCGTATGTGGCTAGAATATTTTTCAGAGCAGTGACACACGCCGGTTTCGATTTGCAGAAAAACATAGTGTCATCGGCAAACAGTAGGTGATTGATCGGTGGACTGTTAAGAGATACCCTGACCCCTGGTAAGGTACCGTCGGCTTGTCCTTTAGCACAAAGAGCTGAGAGGACTTCAGTGCAGAGAATAAAAATATGTGGAGACAGTGGATCACCTTGACGGATTCCCCGTGATGGTTTAACCAGCCCCTGTGGTGAGCCATTTATCAAGAAGGAGTAAGACACCGACTCAATGCAGCACATGATCCAACCAATCCAAATCGGGGCAAAACCAAGTAAAGTAAGCACTTCCCTAACAAAGCTCCATTCAATCCTATCATACGCCTTACTCATATCCGTCTTAACGGCCATTGAACATCGCTTAGTAGCATCCGACGTACGCAGGAAGTGGAGGGTCTCATGAGTAATGAGCACATTGTCCGAGATCGCTCGACCCGACACAAATGCTGATTGGGTGTTGGAGACGAGGGCGGGCAGTAGAGGTTTCAATCGTCTAGACAGAATCTTCGCTATAATTTTATAGTGAGTGTTGCACAAGGCGATAGGGCGATAGTCAGCCACTGATTTCGGTCCAGTAATCTTCGGGATTAGCCTGATGTGCGTTTCATTCTGTTGAGGATGTAAATAGCTCGAGAAGAAGAAATTTCTGACGTCTTTTGTCACTTCCCCGCCAACAATGTGCCAGTAAGACTGGTAGAAGGTTGCTGAGAAACCGTCCGGGCCCGGCGCCTTGTTTCCATTAATCGACATGACCGCTTCTCGAATTTCCGAATCACTCGGTATTAAAATTAAACTCTCATTCATCTCCTGCGTGACTTTTCTGGCGAGGAGATTTTGAATCTGCGCAAAGGAGTTGTTACCATTTGTCTTGAAGATTTGAGTAAAATACTCAGAGATTAGTCGAGTGATGTCCTTCTCCTCATAAACTGCTCCCCCTTGTGTATCCTCAAGGACCGGAATGGAATTAATTGCTCTCCGAGTTCTGGTGGCAGCATGAAAAAACCCGGTATTTTTATCTCCTTGTTTGAGCCATTGAATTCTGCTTCTTTGATGCCAAAATTGTTCCTCAGCTAAATATGCCTGACGAAGTGCAGAATTAATGTCATCAATAAGCTTCTGATCTGGCTCAGCACATGACAAAGCAATCTCTAAAGACTCATGTTGCTGCTTGATGACAAGGTTACTCTGTTCTTGCTTCTCTTTTGCCCATTTAATAATGCCTTTTCTGCAGTCATTAAGTTTCTGAATAACCGAGTTTAATGGGAAAAGTTGCCAAGCTTCCTCAACTATTTGTGTGACTTCTTCCTGCTCCACGAGGGCTCTGTTAAAACGAAACAAGCCTTTCTTCCTGACTCTATCGGAGTTGAAATATGAGACCAGTGGCCGGTGGTCCGAACCTTCGAATCGCAAGTAGCGGCATCGTCCCAACGGAAAGGCTTCCGACCAGGCACAGTTACCAATTGAGCGATCAAGCCTGGATCTAATGAAGTGAGTATGGCGATTACCTCTCCAAGATAGCTGCTCCCCTGTATGCTTAAGGTCCCATAATCCATTTTGAGCAACAAAGGATCTGAATAGTTAAAGATTTGCTTTTTAAAACTCATACTAGATTTTGACCCGCGCTTAAAAAGCGCGGGTATTTTTTTGTTGATAGTACATATATATGATTAAATTAATTTGAAAATTTTTCTATTATTATTGTTTCAGTGCGGTAGAATGTTCTCACTGAATTTTCATTTCCAAGTCAGAGTTGTGGTCGAACCGATATATCCATTTTCTGATATAATAAAACGAATATGTAAACATACTTTAAAATCAATTAGAGTGTTAATGATTTACTGAAATAAATATAAATTTATTTATGCTTTTTAGAGTTTTTGATATATCATATCTATTTTACTTGCATAAGAAGAATTTTTGTACCTAAAATATGAGAAGCATTTAAAAATCATATCAGTATCATAATTATTTTTTTAATAGAATCCATACGAAATAGAGAACTACTTATCAATATTTTTTTAAAAATATATATTAACAGTATCTATATTAATAAACGCATATCTAAATCAGTTTGAGATAAATTTTGTTATTATTAAAAGTGTATACTATAAAATATAATCAATTTTGTATTTATCTGAATTAATATATAAATTTGTATTCAAAATATAGTTTTTTAAAAATAATTCAAATTGGGTCTGAATTTAATTGGGTTCGGTAATTATTCCATTGGTTTAGTAACTGATTGAAATGCTTGTAATAATTAAAACCGGGTAAGTACATGGGAAAAGACATTGGCTTAACCGGGTAATATATTAGATAACACATTGCCGTGTTGTTATGTTATATTATATAGGGGAAAACCAAAAATAATTTAAAAAAAGAAAGGGTCCAAACAACCTTTTTAAGTAGATTTATTTGGACTCCTTCTCTTTTAATAGTATAGATGTAAGAGGTAACTCTTAGAACAATCACTTGTCCTACTGATAAGTGTCGATTGTGAGTGGTTCTTTTTTTTTTTTTATTCTGAAATAAAATTAATAAAAAATTGAAAAGAAAAATTTAAGAACTTTTGGTGAAGTCCACCAATGGACATACCCTAAGTAAAAACTGACACAAGATGATCTCAAAATATAATTATTCAGTTCTTGTGTAGTTGTGTTTAAAGCTTTCAACTTGTACATAAAGATGTATTATGTCCAAAGACCCTATGTTTCACTTGCAATCGATCGACGATCATCAGTTTTTATTTTATTTTATTTACAGGCCATAATACTATTCAAACTAATCTTTAAGAAATCAAATTTTCCACGTGCATGGGAAAATCAATTGATAATACTTGCATCACTTTTATTCAACATAAGCAGAAACAACAACACTCTTTAGTAATCTTAAGTTCATCAAACAAGAACACTTTCTTTCTTTTCTTTTTTTTTTGTTAAAAGTCCCATGTTTGGTTTTAGTACGATACTAAAACATGTTCATCACACACGTCTTAATTATAATTTTATTATTCAGTAGACATAATCATTACTTATATTTTGAACCGGTAGAGTAGTTGGTTGCAGTTAGAGTCCCTTACTCCCCCACCCCGCCATGTATTGGCCGCCACCGCTGTTGCCGACAGGCCAGTTTTCCGAACCATTGACCATTACAGCATGGCCACTACCAGTAGTGCCATAGCTTGGGTTCATGTAGACATGATGTGGTGATACCTGAGGAGCCATAAGCCTGTCATGGTGCTTCATTCCGTAGGCACCGTGCTGCTTCATCCCATGCTCACCGTGGTGCTGCATCCCGTGCCCGCCGTGGTATGCATCTTCATGCCTCCCCTGCCATCCATTACCCATCTTTCCCTGCAAATCCTCATTAACAAAATTACAACGGTTAGAAACCATACAAAATTATAAAACTATATTTAACTGGATGGACAATTGGTGCGTTTGCATAGAAATTATATCATAAAAGACTGTTCATATCATTATAGATCCTTCCCTCCGTTTCAAAATAGATGATATTAAGTTTTGATGTTTCAAAATAGAAGATGTTTTCACATTTCAATGTAACTTTTAACTTTATCAAAAATTGTGTAGCCAATAATATATGTATAGCTTATTTTGTAATTGGTTAAATAGTTTTTAATCTATATTTTAGTCATACGTTTTAGATTAAAAATCAAATTTCTTAATAGTTGTGCACTATCCTAAAATTTCAAATATTTTAAAACAGAGAGAAGTATAAAATTTAATATTTCAAACCCATCAACAGGGAAAAGTGGGACCAGGTCCTTTGGAATGATATCAACAACATAACATGATTAATTTGGTTGCTGACATCTTAAAAGATAGCTTACATTGTGGTATGGTTGAGACATAGGAGGTGGGGCCATGAAGTTCATATGAGGTGGCTGTTGGTGGTGCGGTAACATAGTAGTTTGGTGGCTTCGGCTGCTCTTATAAAATTCTTCAACGTCTGAGTCATCGTCATCACAAACAGGCATGGGTGGACGGCCGTGGTTGGCTGGAAGCCTCACGCTGTGGTCGTAGCGGGCTTGACGGTCAAAGTAGCCTCCTTGTGACTCCATATGAGATGCGTACTGCTTGTGCTCCTCAAAGCCGTAGCCGTTGCTTCCGTAATCCTTGTGACCATACCCATTGCCGTATCCATGCCCGTAGTCTGAGATAAGTTTGTCAAGCATATTTTTTTTTATGTAAAAAATATACTTGGCTTAGTTTTCTTTGATATGAGTCGTGATTAAAATCTTTCTGGTGTCTCCATATATATATATACAAGATACAAGACTTGTAGTAATGTTTGTGTAAAATAGTGTTTGATATGATTACCTCAAGCAATTACTCCTATTCCTATATGATGATGATGTTTATCTGAATCTTATTCTCTTTTCCACCACCAGCATACCGAAAGTTGAGTAGACACATTTGTTCTGAATTCTGATTCGGTTCGTCTTTTTCATTGAAATATGTCCATTCACGTGTGAAATTCGAATTCTAAATTGAGTGAATAATAATTAAAGGATAATAATCAAAGTGAAATCAAACATAATATAGTTCTGTTAATTGAGCTTTCGCATTAGATTATAATACTTTTATGTATAGACTCTTCTCGTTCTTCTTGTTTTCACATAGCGCTTTGTGTTCTTATTTTTTAGATGAACTCATGATTATTTGTAACCTCGCCTTAAAATCAAAAGCATTCAAGTAATCAAGTTCCAAGTTGAGAGTTTGCCATACTCCTAAGTCATAATTAAATCAAACTCACGACACTAACCACGCTTTTAATATCATTTTATTTAAACATGGGTTGGTTAACTCCCTAAGAGCAAGCTTATTGACTAAGAAGCACACAAAGGCTCTCATCCCTTATATTGTTATTTACTACTCCCTATGTTTCAATATAAGGGCATCTTTAGTGAAGGTCTCTCATTTCATTTCTCAAAAAAAATAGATAAATGAAGAAAATAAGAAAATTAAAAGAGAGAAGGTAAAAGTAAAGATAAAAGGAAGAAAGATACTTTTGCAGAGAATCGATTGAAAGGATAATTGAACAAAAAAAAAAAAAAAGGATAATTGTACATTTGTTCTATAATAAATGGTTAAGCTATATTTTTATTTAAATTTTATTAAATTAATTATCTGTATTATTACTATATGATGAGAAATTAAATTAATTATCTGTATTTTTATTTAAAATATATTAAATTAATGTATATTTTAAATTTTTCACACATATTAATAAACATCTAATAAATATATAAATTTTGGTGATTATCTGTTTTCCATAATTTTAAACCAATAAGATTTCAAGAAATACAATTAATTTTTTTGAAGTTTGCGATTAATCATTATTTTTTGATAAAACATATACTGAAATACACAAAAAGAATCTTTTTGAAACATTTTTTTTCTACAATATGTAACTTAATGAAACAAAGGGAGTATACTTTTAATAAATAATTAATTTTTCTCTTTTTATATAATAAACAAAACAAATGAATGGTTACCATTATAAAGTAAGAATGTAAAATGTCAAAATCAAGCACCAAAACCGTATCACTCTCACCTTTTTTTTTCTTTCTTTTAGCTTAATAATTGTTTGATATCTAGCTTCATCCTATTGATGGAGGTGTGTTCTAAGTTGCCTACTTTTAAACCACCTCTGTCGCTTACCTCTAGATTACATCTGGGTATTGCCCAAAAATTTGAAGATTTTGTACATAAATATAGATTCTTAAACAGTACTTAAAAAAATTGACCAAAAAAATAATACTAAAAATTCAATAAAGCTTTTCGGAAATGTTTCAAATCCTTAAATTAGAGTTAAAATCTTGTGTATGAAGGTATTATCTAATAGTTTTTGTTATACCACTTTAAATCTGAAACATTTTATGATAATTTTATATTTATTTCATGTAATTTTTTTCTATTTTCTGTATAATTATTAACAAATAGTTTTTTCCAAAATTTAAAACTCATATACAATAGAGACTCGATAAATTAATATTCGAAAGACTAATAAATAAGGTCAATTAATAAATTTATTTGGTCCGATAAATTGGGCATGTTTAAAATATAACACAAAGCAATACAATTAATAAGATAATATTTTTTTATAAAACCATATGCAAACATGATCTCATTAAAATAATAAATTAACAATATATATAGTTTATATAAGTATTTTAGCTTATATTTATAATGGATGTCATTTTTTCTTAACATTTCAATATATATTTAGAAAAAAATTAGTAAAATTATATCTAAAATAATATTTAGATTCTGGGAAATATTTCATATTACCAAATAATAATATAATATAACAATATGAAAGCCGATTTCCTAAAATTTAATTAATGCATATATGATAAAATCTAAAAATTAATATTTTCTAAATTTCTATAAATTAATAAAATATCATAGTTTACACATTATTAGTTATAGATTGTTTACTGTACGGTTGTTCAAAAAGAGATTGTTTACTGTAGTTTGATGTAAAAATTTCAATTTTTTTGTTGAATTTCTAAATTAAGGAAATTTCTACAAAAAGTATGGTATAGACAAAAGTGGAGATGAAAAAAAAGGAAAGAACAAACGTGTCATCATCTTAGCACTTAACACGAGTCTAATGCTGCGTGTGCATAACGATTAACGACTGATAATGGTCTAAAAAGGATATCCACCATCAGAATCTTCTAATTGACCGACTTGAGTCCACATGGCAGCAGCCTTTTAAAGTCTCTCAACGTTCAAAAACCGACCCTTTCTCGAGTTTCAAATATCAACGGCGTGGTCAATTTCGAAGAAATGTGTAGAGGAGAATCGTCACAATGTGACACGTAACCACATCTCACCGAGAACGCCGTCCTTTGTCTCATTCTTCGCGTTTGTTTATAAACATAGAGAAGATAAGATCAAGAAAGAGTAGTACTAGTCGTCTCCCTGTATATTATAATCTTCCCAAACCAAGTTGGCGTTGCTCACCAAACCTGATTTTATCTTCTACTTTTACACACAACCCGTTTCGTCTCATCTAACAGAACAGAGTTTTAACAGCTTCCCCTTGTTTGTGTGATGGAAATGGAGAACAAGACCAGCAATACTGGAACCGAAGATGGTCCAAAACATAGCCAAGTGGTGAAGATAAAGAAAGAATTCGAAAAGATAAGGCAACCATCGCTGCAGCAACCGGAGATGAGAAGGGTCCTCGCCGAGATCAAGAGACGTCAACGTTCACGTTCACCTCTCGGCTTAGGAGAAAGATCTATTCCCGTTGGCAATTGATGATCCCATCTTTACCTTTGTAATCGAGACAGAGATAGTAGTAGTAGTAGAAGAAGAACCTCCTTACGAGAGAGATTCTTAATACTTAGTGTCTTGCAGCCTTTGTTGTATATATGATATGACTCTGTAGTATTATGTCTTCATGTAAATACTCTTTGGTTATGAATATGATCTATGAATCTCCCTTCTCTGCAGAGTAAAACTCTTTTTAATATGATGTTAAACATAAAAAAACACAGAAGCAAGAGCTTCTCCAAACGAAACAAAAGAACTCTATAGAAGACACATGACATGTATGTTAGTATGTAAGAGATAGGTTTTATCACTATTACTGAAGAAAACCCCTTTGATAAAAGAGAACTCTTATGAAGCTTATAAGTTCCCTTCTGTCAAAGAAGAACCAATTTGAAGCATTAAAGGATAAACTGAACTAAACTCTTTCTCCCCTCTCGACTTGATCTTCACTGCATAATCATCCAAAGTCGCTTTGACCCCCTTCCAGATCTGATCCTCTTTTTGGTTATCAAGCCACAGTGAGTACTGCTTTGGACTCAGTCTGTCCTTCTGCATAGGTGAATCTAACTCGTCTGGGCCTCTAGTGTAGAGATGATGCAGGACGATGCTTGGTGGTAGATCCTGGATGAGAGGAGATGATCCCATTTCAGATGTTTCCAAGAATATTAATGGTCTAAATGCTATAAGAGCTCTGTACGGTGCACCGAGTTGCTCCACAGGGAAGAGATTCTGTCCCACCGCGAGTTCCAGCTCCGCCATGTCTCTAGCCATCCTGAGTTTTCCCCATTCAGATAGTGGTTGCACCAGGGAAGCATGCCTTATGTAGAATATCAAAACCCTTGAAGCCATTTGTCTTGCAAGTCTAGTGCAGATTGATTCTGTCCCTGCAGTGCTAGCGCTTGCTGCGGAAGGTAACAGTCTAGATAGGAACTCTTTGCCGAAGTGGAGAATCGATCTCTTCAACTCTTCCATGTAGGGGGAAGTGTTGTTGTCCAAGGCAGCATCATCAACACCAAAGTTTTGGTCGTGGATCTGAAGAATGCATGATTCGAGCTGGTCTCGCATTGCTTTAAACAATGGTGTAACTGGCTCACATGCAGCAGCATATATTGCACCTAGATGAGGAGACAATACATCAGCAGCGATACTGGGAAGGTCAGCTACCATGGATGAGATATGCGTGTGGATTCCTTGCAGATGCTGACATAATGTGAAGTTTCTGATCTGTGTTGTAAGTTGCAGGACCTGTTATCTGGCGAGTCTCAGGGCCGGTGGAAATCTGCCATGTACATGTGGCTGCGTTACATGTCAAACATAAAAGCATACATAATGGTCTAACTTCTCCTTCAGCTTAACAGCTAACATGTACATTTCATAGCAGAGGTCAAAGTAGTTCTAGTTTCCCTCATCTCTGTCTGGTAAGTTACAAGAAAACTATAGTAGCCATACAAATTAGTACTTTATACACATTCTACCCTTTACATCTGCATGCAACCTTCATTGTAGTCAAACAAACTTGAGGCCATACTATTCAAAGTTTATAGAATCTATACTCAGTGAGATAGTGCGAATAGGATGAGGACAATGGGTACCATAAACGGTATATGATATACCACCAATTGCGAAGAGAAAAGAAGTTAAGCAAACCTGGCACTCAGCTCGTTGAGCAAGGTTACTAAGGGCTTTGCCTATCTCACGCAAAACTAGAAGAGTCAAACGACCATCTGGATGAACAGCCTCAATCTCGTCTTGAATGTGTGATAACACCTGTGAGATCTGTCTTTGGAAGGTAAACTCCCACGGCTCGACATAGGGAATATCGAGTTCACAAGATCTGACAACCGTCCAAAGCATAGTGATAAGAACGCAGTCTGGAATATTGCAATGCATGAAACCATTTGTTCTTTCCTCTCTGAATTAATTGCAGGCAACACTCCTTTCACATCGATGTCGCGAGCAATCCTTTCGAGAAGATTTTCTATCATAGACACTAGCTTTGGATATCCCATGGTGAATATTTCTTTCACGAAAATCGAAGCTGAGAAAGCAGACTTCATTTGGCTAGTAAACGCTTTCACAAGTGCATCCCATACTCTGTCTGTTAACATAGAATCACCTTCCTGTCGCACATAAACATTACATTTCAGCAATACAACCTCAAGAAAAAGGCTGGAATCAAACTTAACCAGTAGTCCTCTGACATCACAAAAATACATACCATAGGCTTCATTTTTATGCAAACACATAGGACGGATCACTAACTAAAGTTGATCAGACATCAACATGCTCGCTAAATATATAACAAGAATCTTCTCATCCATTTCCAAGAACACTCTATGTCTCTCTCTCAATTAACTAATGCAGCTTAAACTAAGGAGTAAACTCCACGAGCCTAAATTTCCAGTGAAATTCACGAAGTTCCTTAAACCTTGAATCTAACCCTGACATCACAAAAACACATACCAACGGCTTCATTTTTATGGAAAAACATGGAAGAATCATCTACTAACGTTGAATCGTGCCGCTAAATGTGACAAGAATCTTCTCATGCATATCCAAGAACACTGTATCTTTCTCTCAATTACCTAATGCAGCTTCGAGTAAACTCTGAGAGCCTAAGTTTCCAGTAAAATTCAAGAAGTTCCTTATACCTTAAATCTAACCCTGACATTGCAAAAACACATACCAAAGGCTTCATTTTTATGCAAAAACATGGAAGGATCACTAACTAAAGTTGATGGAACATTAATCATGCTCGCTAAATATAACAAGAATCATCTCATCCATATCCAAGAACACTCTCTCTTTCTCTCAGTTACCTAATGCAGCTTAAACTAACGAGTAAACTCTGCGAGCCTAAGTTCCAGTGAAATTGAAGAAGTTCCTTAATTATACCTAAAATCTAACCCTGACATCACATCACAAGAACACATACCAAAGTCTTCATTTTATGCAAAAATATGGAAGAATCATCTACTAACGTTGAATTATGCTCCCTAAATGTGACAAGAATCTTCTCATGCATATCCAAGAACACCCTATCTTTCTCTCAATTACCTAAAACAGTTTAAACTAACGAGTAAACTTGAGCTCCAAAGTTTCAAGTGAAATTCAAGAAGTTCCTCATACCTTGAATCTAACCCTGACATCACAAAAACACATAAAGGCTTATATTTATGCAAAAAAACATGGAAGGATCTAAAGTTGATTAAACATCAATCATGTTCACTAAATGTGACAAGAATCATCTCATCCACATCCGATAACACTCTATCCTTCTCTCAATTACCTAATGCAGCTTAAAACTAACGAGTAAAAACTAAAAAAACTTCCCTATACCTTGATAACTGCATCAAGAAGAACATGAGTAAAAGGATCCCTCTTCTTAGACAACACACGCTGCAAATGCCACACAGCAACAACAACCTTATACAACTGATCCATACTACTCCCCATCCTCTGCCACAACGCCTCCCTAACCTTCCCCCCACCACAATATTCGGAGCTCCACTAGACCTAATCCCACCAAGCCCAAACCCACCACCAGCCCCAGACGTTATCGCCTTCATATCCATCGCAACACCCACACTCTTAACACCCATCCCTTTATACTTATTTAACCAACTGATCAACCGTAACCTTAAGCTCCCCAAGGTTATAAAAAACCTGCAAACCAGTCCCAACCTCCGCTTGATTCAGCCCTTCCATACCTCTCTCCAACACCTTCATCGCCTCGGATCTCAACCTCAATCGGATTTCGATTTTTCGGGTTTATTAAAAGTAGCTCTATTCAGATTATTGGAAAGTTCGGTGTGCGATCGATTAGTTCGGGTTCTATTGGGTTCGGGTCGGGGTTAGTAAATCTTTAAAGAATCGGTATACCCCGTTATATTTTTGGATTCAGGTCTCAATCGGTACTTTGGTTTAAAAATAAAGTAAAATCGGTTCTTCGGATTCAAAGGTATCTGATGTGTAACTATTTTGTAACCAAAACATAAATAAAATTGATTTAAAAATAAGAAAAGAACATCAGACGTGATCATTCAAAATCAAAGGAATGTAAACATAGTTATTAACAGAAAGAAAACCAAATAAATGAAAGCATAAAACGAAAACCAAATTCTTAAAAAATGAATAACATTATTCAATAAAACAAAAACTTAATCTAAAAATTTTATGTTACCACCGCCACTTTCAACCATAAACACTCATGTAATAGGTAATTATTTTAGATGTTTAATAATATCTTAAAGTATTTTAGATATATATTAGGAATTAAGATCATATTTGGTACACGTTCTTATTAAAAAAATTGAATGTTTCGGGTTCTATCGAATATCCATTTAATTTCATATTTGGTTCGCATAATATCCATAACCTGAAATACCATAAAATAAGATTTATTCGGTATTTAAATCGAGTTTGAATCGGTTCGGATTTTCGAATTCGGTTTATTTGTCCAGCACTATGATTGATCAAGTGTTATGAGATTATAAATCGCATGAGAATATGATTAGTTTGCGAACTTCATATTCAAAATTCGGGGATGGAAGACGTCAATCGAAGTATGGAATCATATAATGGAAATTTGAAGTTATCCCTCAGCTATGTGACCTTGCTAAAAGTATTAAAGCTTTTCAGGCTAGGGACTTACAAATGTTGTGGCCTTTCAAAAGAATAAACATTATGTTTACGAAACTACTAGATGATAATCTGCATTAGCGCGGATTAAATTTTTTAAGAATATATTGTATTTAAATACCTACTTTGTTATTAATAATCTTTTTTATATTTGATTAAGGATGGACATTTATATACCATTTGGTTCGGTTAGGTTATATTTGGTTTAGAAATTTTGGTTTGGCTCGAATTCTTGTAAGTTCGGATTGGGTTTAGGTTTGGATAACCTATTTGATTTTGTTTTTTTTTTTAAGTTCAAATATACTTTAAATTTTTTGAAATCTAAAAGTAAAAATAATATATAACATATAAGTTTGAAAAATGAATATCAAAATACTTAAACTGAACATAAAATTGGTTCATCTTAAAGATTTGAACAAAAAAATCAATAAATATTTCAAATATTTTTCTATTTTAAAAATGTAAATTTACCTACTTTATATATTCCTAAGTATTTTGGAAAAATTTAAAACATCTCATGTATTTTCTATATTCTTAGATGTTAAATTTAAAAATAATTAATATATTTAAGTATATAAATATGGTTATAGTGCACTTGGACACTTGAAATATTTTGATTCAGTTTTGGTTCTTTACATACCAAAATTTCGAATCCATTTGGACATCTAACCAATTTTGGTTAAAGATTGTACTAGTTTTTGGATTAGATTTGGTATGGTTATTTAGATTCAGTTTTTTTGTCCAACCATATATTTTTATTGTAACAAAAATTTAAATGAAAGTGATCATGGTTTATATTGATTTTGGGTATTCAACAATTTTTAAACAAAACACACTCTATTATGTGTGATTCATTTAGTTAATCATTATAAATTGTTTAGGACCCATTCAAAACGATTGGCTGAATTAGAAAACGTTATCATTGATCACGAATTTTTCAAGGTGAGATTTTTACCATTTGTTATTAATTTATGGTCGCTTTAAAAAATAAAAAAATATAACATGTAAGAAAAAATCTAAATTTTTCTATTATATGATTAGTGTGATTGTTCATTTTTTTTTAAGAATATAAAATTTAATAAAAAGTAAAGACGATTAATAATTGTTATCAAATCATTATTGTTCATAAACATTAATTGTAATATATATATATATATGTTAATCATAACTAACTAATAATTAAATATGATAGTTAGTTTAATAAAAATATAACATATGTTTAGTTGGACCAACATGAAAATCATTTTCATTGTAACACTTGGATACCAAAAAATGTTGTAATGCTCCAGGATTAATATATAGGAGATACTAATCATTATTAATCTGTTGAAATAACATATTTTATCATTTGAAACCTGTTTAGAAACTGGAAAATATGAAGATGATTCTATTATTTTGTAAACATTACAAACTATACTTTTTTACTTGAATTTAGTTGCAAATTTATTTGTTAAATACCAAAAATGAAATTGAACTAATCTTTGGTTCAAATATGTATTAATGTTTTGATGATTATTTGAGAACTTCTGAAAAAAGGAATTTGAAATCACAAAATGAAATTTTGGAAAGAATGAGATTTTTTGAAGTTGTAAAAAATAATTCTTTTGTTTTAAGATTAATCATTATTAGATTTTATTGGTAAGGAACCTTGTTCGGAAACTCGCTAGACGCTACGCTTGCGGCACACCAGGGCCTAACGATTTATTGAAAAATTGGGAAAAAACCGGGGAGTATTCAGGGATGAATTTTTGGTATTTTATATGTATAGTACCATATTATACGTATAACACAATATAATTCATGTTTATGTAACTAATTGAGTTGTCTAGTTTTAGTGTATTGAAGTTGTGCATTGATGTGTTTAGCTATGGTTCATCAAGTTGTATCACACTAAGACACAGTATATCAATATGTCTTCCATTCATGGGGAATGAGACAAAACGTTTAATACTACTCTCTCAACAGGTTATTTTTCGGAGTGGGTATAAGTTACTGGACGTTTTGGTGGATTTTGATAATCCTAATACCCATTCTCTCCCCCCTTTGGAAAAAAAATTATGGCAAGATTTGTGGAAGACAAAAGCTCCACCAAAAATTAAACACTTTATGTGGAGGGCCTTATCGGGTGCGTTGGCAGTAAAACAACGATTGGCTACGAGAGGTATTCCGATAGATCCAACTTGTCCAATCTGCGGGGTTGAGGATGAGACCATTTGCCATGTTTTGTTTTCATGTGCAAAAGCTCGTGATATTTGGGATCATGCTAATGTCCAAGTCCCTAACAGAGGGTTTTCTAGGAATTCCACATTCTTAAACTTTGTTCATTTACTTAAGAATGCTAAGAACACCTCTGTGGGTACCCATACAGCAAAAGTGTTTCCATGGTTGTTATGGGAAATTTGGAAAGCTAGGAATACTTTTGTTTTTAAGAATAAGGTTCTTGAATCTTCCTTTGTTGCGCAAAGGGCGTATGAAGAAGAATTAACATGGTTTGATACTTTCACGGGTACTCTGGAACAAACAAATGGTCAAAGTGAAATTAAGGTTTCGTGGTTGAAACCTCCAAATGGTACCCTAAAGTGTAATGTTGGCTCCTCGTGGATTAATCCAAACCTCCCGAGTGGTGCTTCTTGGATTCTTCGTGATGAGAAAGGTAATACAATCATGCATAGTCGTCGGGCCTATTCATACATGCGTACAAAGACCGAGGCAGACTTGTGGGCTCTCTTTTGGGCTGTGGAGTGTTTGCATAACCTCCATTTCTCAAATATAATTTTCGAGACCTCTTCCGATTACCTTCATGACGCTATTACCAATCCTGCTGCTACCCCTTCTCATTGCCTCATCCGTCATAGCATTTTCTGGCTTCTGTCTAGAATTGATTCATGGAGTCTGAATCACTCACTTTCGGNAGCGTTACTCGGGACGGACGTCATCAGTCGTATATCGCTCGGAATGCTCCGTCGTGGCTACATCATCTACTCGTCTTGGAAGCTCAGTAAGGATGGGGGTGGGTATATAGGTTCTCTACTTCTCCTTTCTATCTTATTATCCTTTGACGGTGTCTACTGACATCTCAATTTACTGTTTTATTTTCTCCTTTTTTGTACCCCTTGTACTTTTGATCAAACTCAGTGTTAAAAAAAAGTAGGTTATTTTTCTTGCTATACGTTTCCCAAAGCTTACAATATTAAACTTCTTTTTCAACTTGGAGGTTATATTTTTAATAGTTTTTTTGTGAAATATCAGTTATATAGCCTGTATAGTTAGCGAATAATTAAAATGTTAAGGTGGTGTAGTGGTCGAAGTGTTGTATTGACTTCATTGTCATGACTTAGATGAATAAATGTACCACTTTTGTTTATTTTTAATTGTTTTTCAGTAAAAGGCTATAACTGTAAATATGACTTCATTTTCTTCCTTACTGAAACTTGAAAATACAGCTGCTGTGTTTTCTCATTTCGCTCATTGTTTAACATTTTGTTATCAAAATGATCAAATAGTTCACTGATGTTTAGTATTTTGGATTCAGTGATATCAACTAAGATATAATTTTGGATTTTGGGCTACGCGCTTCAAACTAAAAATCGGCCGCGTTTCTGTAAACCACGTTCTTGGCGGTCCTAATTCGGATTACTGTATATCCCAACCGAATCACCTCAACTCGCCACGGTGACCAACCGTTTCACGAGTTCTCGGCCGATAAATCGTCTAGGCGAGCGAGTTTTTGAACAAGGGTAAGGAGAGAGAAGACCAAGTACAAGATTTGATATATTCATACTTTTGCAGTGACGAAAGTAAGAATCCTATGTGAAGTTACAGCGCGGTGGTTCCAATAAGTAAATGTAAGCATGATCGATTAAAGCTCGTATGTGCCCCACGTAAAACCGATCCAAGTAAGAGTTACTTGAAATTTCAATGTGTACATTTCAATTTATACTAGACTTTCATCCGTGATTAAAAGGTCGGAAATGTATTTTAACAAAATATAATTTACAAAATTAATATATTTTAACATTTTATAAATAAAGTTTGAACATTTTAATTTTAGTGTATATAAAAATGTATAATTATATAGTTTATATTCATAATAAATATGCAATTATATACTACTTAATTAATTTTAAGATTATTTCAGTCAGTTTGTTATAAATATTTAATAAAATCTCTGTAATTGGTTAATTTAATTGTATGATATATACTTATTTGATAAATTTTAAATTAGAAAGCTCATTTTATGTCAATTTAAATAAAACATGCTTGGTTCATATATTATTAAATCCTATTGTTTCAATAATATTTTTCTATTTACTAGGTTTGTGATGTGAAACCATGCAATGTGCAAAACGTGTGAAGTTTTTTACTAGATTTATTTCCTTTTAATACTATATTTAATAGAGATAAACAACTGAGATGTGCCGTTATAGGTGATGTGGAAGAGGAAATTGTCAGTTACTCAAAATCTAATATAATCATATCATAATCAATATGATCAATTACTCAAAATTTAATATGGTCATATTGATCACAGTTACTCAAAATCTAATATGATCAAATCATGCTCAATTACTCAAAATCTATATTTTAAAATATGATCAATTGTTCAAAATCTAATATGATCAAGTCGTGATAAATTACTCAAAATAATCTGATATGATCAATTCATGATCAATATGATCAATTACTAAAAATCTAATAAGATCAATATGATCAATTACTCAAAATCTAATATGATCAAGTCATTATCAATAAGATCAATTACTCAAAATTTAATAGGATCAATTACTCAAAATCTAATATGATCAAGTCATGATCAATCTATGTATTCTCTTTTATCTTTTATATTTCTCTTTCGTTGGAAAGAGTCTCAATTGATTTTTTAACTTTCCAATCCACCATTGCAAGCTCCAGTTTAGTCTACTATGTTGCTATAATCGATAACAAGAAATTTAATTCAATTATGTTGAATCAATGATCAAGTGGTAAGAAACTTATTATAACCGCTTTGGTTTGGAAAAAAATTCTATGGAACCACCATGGTATGTCGTCGTCATGGATATGGAAATAATGCAACCACAAAAGTGTTTAAATTTTTTGAAAATTACAATTCAAAATATTTATAGATACTTTTTCACTAGAGAATTTTTTTTTTTTGTTGTATGGTAATATTGTTAGAATCGTTGAAAATTAACAGTTTTAATTACTATATCTTTTGAAAAAAAAAAAATAATTGAATTTTCTCATATTATGTTTGGTGAGCTATAGAAAACTTAGCTTACCAAACATTATTAATCTGTTGAAAATAAAATATTTTAGCATTTGTAACCGATTCAGAACTGGAACAATATGATGATTATTCTATTACTTTGTAAACATTACGAAAGATATTTTTTTTTTTGGAATTCAGTTGCAAATTTATTTTTTGAATAAAAAAGAAGAAGTTAAATTATCTTTGATTCAGATCTGTATAATGTTTTGATGATTATTTGAGAATTTCTAACAAAAAAAAAATTGAAATCAGTCGTTGAAAATTTGAAAAAAAAATAATATGTATTTTCTGGTTTACTAAAAAAAACTATCATTCTTTTTGTAAATAAATAAGTCAGTTTAATAGTATCTGAATAATAGTTATTCAATTTTAAAATCCAGGTTGATTGTTTGTGGTTTTTAGATTGGTTTTTGTTTTTTTGTTTTTTCAAAAACTATTTTTCTTCCAATCAAGTTTTTTATAAAATGGTTTTCTTAAAATCTAGGGAAACTAGTTTTTTAAATAACTGTCTATTTGTAAACAAAAACCAAAATCCAACTTTTTCTAGTTTCTGTAGAGTAAAACTAAAAGTTCATAATTTTCAATACAAAAAAAAATATTAATCACCCAACCTGTGACTTTTTTCAACTAATTAACATATTAAATTCTGATAATAGAAAACGTATGAGCACATAGAGCTAAGGCATTTTACACATAACTAATCAATCTACATATATAAGTTTTTTACATCTATGCTAATCATACAAAAAAAATTTTTTATCGTATTAAAACAAAAAATCTTGTTGTTGTTTTATCTGATAATAACATGATCTAAAGCACAAAATAACTCATATAAAACTTTTATCTTATCAATAATTTTTTAAAAAATAATAATTTGAAGTTAATCATTACAAAAAAATATATTTATATGTTGATAATTTTGTTTTTATTTTGGGAAATTAGTTTTTGTTATTTCTTTTACTATTCATATATATGAGCTATATTTCTTTTTTTAGTTTTTATGATATTTTTGTGTTTGAAGTTTTTTTAAAAATTATGTGTGTTTTACTGATTATATTTTATTTTTTGTTCTTCATAATATACATTTTACTATAATAAAACTTTCATTTCATTTATTTTAAAAGCAAAATTCAAAAACTACAATCTAAAACAACCATTCATGTTTTTCAAAAAAACTAAAAACTACTACAAAATCAAAAACCAAAAACTAAAAACCAAAATCTAAAAACCAGCAACCAAAAACTAAAAACTAAACCAAAAAACAAAATCTAAAAATCGACAAAACAATCATCACCTAGTTTTTTTTCCAGCTACATCTGTATCCAGAGTACACAGGGATCTGATAACAATGGGAAATCACACTTTTTTGTCACACACCTAAGCATGTGAAAACGGCTCCAGGGTGACACTTGTCTCTATATAACTGGTACGCCACGTCATCACCTTTCTTAAAATCGCGTCAAAACGGCGTTTTCCCAAAAACAGCGTCTGCCTCCACGACAACAATCCCCCCTTTCCACCTCCTCTGTCTCCTCCTCCCTCTGCTTTTCCGATTTCGTGTAAACTCTTTCCTTGCTTCGTCTCATCTTCTCCAATGACGGTTAGGTCCACCGGGAGAAAACTCTCCTTCGAGATTCTCAACCAAACCAGCTCCTTCGAGAACGATTCACTCCCTCCAATCCCCAAATCCCCGATCACCAGAAACGGCTCCACGGAATCTCTTAAGAGAAGGAGACACAGGAAGAAGAAGAAAAACAAAGTCGAGACTATCCCTGAGAATGGCGATCCTCAATTCGTTGAGGATTCGAATTGGGCTTCCTGCGACGACGGAGGTGAAAGATTCGAAAACAGATTGAATTACTTCAGCAGCAGTGGCGTCGTGACGACGCAGACTGTTATACAGCAAAACGGGTTTAGATTCGGGGAGCTGAGGCAGAGGAATGTTAATGGGAGTATGGACTCGAGTAACGATGAGAGATTCTCTGAGAGCATTGGTTCTTCTGAGAAGAAGTTATACGCCGAGGAGGAGGAGGAGGAGGAGAGGTTCTCTGAGAATCCACCGTTTCAGGAAGTGGAGAATCAGTTTCCAACTAATGGGAATGTGGTGAAGAGACTTGACACTGAAGCTTCTTTGGACTGGAAACAGCTTATGGCTGATGATCCTGATTGTAAGTTTCAATCTTTTTTGGCTTTTTCTGTTCCTTAGTACTGAGACTAATGGTTTGCTATTTGTTGTTATTAGTTCTTAGTGTTGAGACTAGGTCACCTATGAAGTACTTTATGGGGGAGATTTATGGCGGGGTGTCGTTACGGAGCACAACTACTACTGGGAATGATGTAGAGCGGGAGAGGATATATGATATGATCTTCCGCTTGCCATGGCGATGCGAAGTGGTAAACACTGTCTGAACGTTCTTAAGTGTGTTATTTTGTGTTCTTGTAGTTGATAAGTTTGAACTTGTGGTGTGAGGAGCTACCTAAACTGAAGTTAAGTTACATCTTATGCTTGTCCTTTGAATGCAGCTTCTACACACTGGCTTTTTCGTCTGCGTGAACTCATTTCTGTCATTGTTGACAGTCATGCCAATAAGAGTCTTGCTGTTATTTTGGGGTGCTTTAAAGAAGAGGTGAGTCACTTTCTAGGTTCTTCCTTTGATAATATAACATGCTACGGACTAGTCTCTATTACTACCCCAATGTGCATCTTTGACTCAAGTGTGAATATGTCTTCGATATACACACGATTCTGTTTTTTCCGTTGTGAGGAAGTAACTTAGTTATATTCGTGGCAGGCAGTTCAGGAGGCCTTCCTCATCGGAGCTCTCTGATCTTGCTTGTTTCCTAGTTTTGGCTTCTGGTACCATCCTTCTTGGGAGAACAGGTGCAATAAAGTCTTCTTGATTTGCATAAACTTGTTATATATTTTGCGTTTAATCTATCAAAACATCTGTTGTTACTATGGGTTGCTTAGGGCATTACTTTATCTGTCACTTATTAGAATGCTTTTCTGTTCAGCTTATCAAAGTAATGTGGAAATGGATTTCCCAAACAGTTCTCTAATTTGTTTTCATTTTCACAGATATCAGCCTAATTTACCACATGATTCGTGGTCAAAGTACCATAAAACTATACGTGGTTTATAATATCTTAGAGGTAACTATTAACCCCCTTCTAGATTTTTTTCACTTTACTTCCTTCCATCACATCCACAGTTTAGTTGGGAAGTTCACTGCTTTTGTCCGTCATGTTCCTTCTCTATCCAAATGGTACTAATACAGATATTGTGTTTCAGATATTTGATAGACTCTGTCAAAGCTTTTGTGGAGATGTATTTGGGGCTCTGTTTAGTTCCGCAGCGGGACTGGCTATTGCCCCTCCTGAGAAACTGAGATTCTGTACTTGGAGATTCGTTTCGGACCTGGCGTTAACTATGGTTGCGTCGAATATCCTTTTTATTTGATTGCTAGTTTGATTTCTGTTAACTACTTTCACATCTTTACTCTGTTGTATCCTTAACTGTCTTCACTTCTCCATTCATTCATTTTATTAGCTCAGGCAATCACGTTGTCAACTTGTATTGTTGCTCACAACAATGCCTTGTTGGCACTTTTGGTGTCAAATAACTTTGCTGAGATAAAGAGCAATGTCTTCAAGCGTTTCAGCAAAGAAAACATTCATGGTCTAGTATATGCGGGTAAGTAAGACTTTACTCCATTCCCTTTGTGTTTAAGAACTATTAAGCTGACTCTAATTCAAGCTATTTCTCCACCAGATGCAATAGAGAGATTCCACATATCGGCCTTTCTGGTGTCTGTTTTGGCTCAAAACATTCTTGAGGCTGAAGGTCCATGGCTTGGGAACTTTATCTACGTAAGTATACATAATTCACTAGTACTGATAAATTACACACAAGTCTCTTTAAAGGTTTATCTTAATTAATTTTACCTGGACTCTGCAGAATGCTACTATGGTCTTCTTCTGTGAGATGATGATAGACATCATCAAGCATTCATTTCTTGCGAAGTTCAATGGCATCAGACCTATAGCGTACTCTGAGTTTCTTCAAGCTCTCTGCGAGCAGGTACTGATGATTTAAGCTTCTCTCTCTGTCTCTCTCTGTTCCATTGGCCTTAAAATTCCATTGATGCGTTGAGTGTTGTGTTTCTTACTTATGTTTATCTTTCTCGGGTTATCTTCTTTGTCAGACTTTGAACATTCGTCCGGAAGATAGAAAGACAAATCTCACATTCGTTCCCATTGCACCAGCTTGTGTGGTATATTTCTCTTCCCTTTTGGCCTAGAAACTTATGAAACATGCGATTGTGATAAGTCAAAAAAATAAGTGTGTTTTCTTTGAGGCTTCAGGTGATCAGAGTACTGACTCCAGTCTATGCAGCACACTTGCCTTGTCATCCCCTTCCATGGAGAGTGATGTGGATGGTCTTTTTATTTGTCATAACATGTGTGATGCTCACAAGTCTCAAAGTTCTAATCGGCATGGGACTTAGGAAACATGCAACTTGGTATATTAACAGATGCAGAAGGCGAAACTCCTCCCATCTACACAACGATTAGCCTGACTCTTAAAAACTACTGAGAATTGAAGAATGGTTTCCATGTGGTAACACCTCAGCAGCAAGATAGAGTTTTGCACAGGAGAGTGGATCAAAAGGTTGCACTCGACTCAGGGATCCAGTTTACATCTTTGTTATGGTATATGAGAATATGAGATCATCGTTGTGATCTTATTATACATGTTTAATATTAGATGAAGCGATTTTGGTAATTGTTAGGCAAATATATTTTTATGTACAAAGAGACCCCCATGGATGGATCATTTTGGCAAAAAAGGGAAAAAAAGCTATGGCAGGACAAATAGCCATACTACTCTTCTTCATCACAGTTTCTGACTTGTTAAAACTTCACATGAGCCTAAATATATGATGCAATGTGAATAAACAAGGATCATGAATCATTAATCTGACTTCTCCAGTTTTTTTTAATCGCTACTTCTTGATATGACAACGACACACTACCAAGTTAACATATCGCTGCTTAAGTTCTTATACTATTGGCACCATTTTTGTAGATTAAGCGATTTGTTAATAATTTATTTACACCGACCCTATTATCTGATGATGCTTTTGAATAAGTCTGAGATCTCTTTGCTGTGTCGGTTACCCACAAACCACATTTATTTTAATATCTTTATATTTTGTAGCAAAAATGTGCAGAATATAAGTTGTAAAGTGAGATTGATCAAAAAAACATTGTAAATGAGAAAGCTGTTTCATTTTTATTTTTTGACATCGTGAGAAAGCTGTTTCTCTGGCTATTTTGTTCATTATAATTTGTTGACTACTCATAATTTCCCAAATAAATTTCCCATTTTGTAACATTTAAAAAATAAAATAAAAAAAGAAACGTCATAGATAATTTATCTGGTGAAGTCTCTCTCTCTCTCTGACTTGCAACCCTTTTTCTTCTGGGCAGTAGATTTGATTTCCCACTTTACACTTTCTCCCATTCCCCACCGCCTGCAACAATGTCGGTAAGCTTTCTCGCCCCAATCTTTTCCCTCTCTTCGGTTTCGGGTCCAAGTCTCGCTATTTTCAGATCTCTCATTAGTTAAAAGTTCCCGTGAAAATAATTGCGGCTATGTGGTCTACTGAAAATCTTCAGATTTCTGCTAAACCCATCAACTTGATCTGATGATTTTGGATAAAGTCTGGGATCTCTTTTACTGTGTCGGTTTACCGAAAGAAAAAAAAATCAAAACTTTTTTAAATTCAGAGAGCTTCTTTTGATTCTTCAGTTTCAAGATTCTGCTATTCTTAAAAGTTTTTAGCTTTGGCTTTTTTTTTTGTTCTTTTATGAATATTGATCTCTCTTTTTCTCTCAACAGGCTGCTTTTATTCCTTTAGATCAATCTCACCACAACATTCTCATGGATTCTCAGCCTACTACTACTACTTCCCCTGTAAGCACAATATTTCTCCAGTGATCTTTTTGTATGGTTTATAAGTTATTAGTTATTGCAATTGAAACAATAATGTCAATAATCCTGTTTGTGGCACAGGTGACAACTGTGAAGATTAGTAATGTTTCACTCAATGTCTCCAAGAAAGATCTCAAAGAGTTCTTTTCTTTCTCTGGTGATATTCACTACCTCGAGATGCGAAGGTTGAACAAAAAACTTGTTCTTGTTCACATTAGATCTTTACCCAAATATCTAATGTTAGTTACTTTATCATCATTACAGTGAGACGCAAGAAACTCAGCTTGCTTATGTTACTTTCAAGGATCCACAAGGAGCAGAAACTGCTATGCTCTTAACGGTATTTTCTTTTATGTGTTTTTTTCTCTGTATTGTGGGAATGTAATATATTTACATTACTTTTCTTTAGGGAGCTGTCATTGCTGATCACCGTGTCAGCATTACTCCTGCTGTGAACTACGAGTTACCACCAGAAGCCCTTGCACTTGACTCGGTAAATCCAAAATAGATTACTCTTTGCTTCAATATTTACCTTCAGTTTTCATGTCTCTCCTCTGTTGCAGCAGGATTATTCGTTTAATGGCTTCACTGTCAAGAAAGCTGAACACGTGGTAAGCATCATGATGGAAAGAGGCTATGCAGTTGGCAAAGACGCCATGGAGAAAGCCAAAGCGTTTGACGACAAACACAACTTAGTCTCAAACGCTTCAGCAACCATTGCCTCCCTTGACAACAAGATTGGTTTGAGCGAGAAGCTAAGCATAGGAACCACTGTGGTGAACGAGAAGCTGAGAGAAGTGGATGAGCGGTATCAAGTGAGGGAGATCACAAAATCTGCTTTAGCAGCTGCAGAAGAGAGAGCTATCAGCGCAGGAACAGCTTTAATGGCTAATTCTTATGTTTCAAGCGGAGCTTCGTGGTTATCAAATGCATTTGGTGCAGTGACAAAGGTGGTTAGAGCTGAGAATGGAGGAGAGGGAAGAAAGGAGATTATTCATCTTGATGACACTTCACCTAAAGCTCCTGCTGTTGTTCCTGTTAGCTCGGTGGACTCAGACTTCACCAAACCAAGTTTCTAAAAGATTGCATTGTCTCAAACTCCAATTCTTTGATACATTTGATGTGCATATACACGCTTACATATTCATTTGTCCTCTTTCATTGCACAAGAAAAAGATATTGTTGTTACATTCAGACATCATTCGTAATTCATTGTCTTATTTTCAAATCAAAAGCAAGTGAAACTGATTGGTGTCTCAGGAACTAAGTTGAAGGAACCTTCTTGCCATTGGATGTGTAGCATGAGAAAGCTCACTAGGTTTAAGAACTTCAACAATCTCACCATCAACAACAAGACAGACAAGATCCGCAACTCTCTGTATCTGCTTGATGCTGTGAGAGACAATCACAGTAGTAATCCCTCTCTGCTTCTTAAGTTTCACTATAACATCCTCAATATTCTCTGTCGATATGGGATCCAAAGCGCTCGTTGGCTCATCAAGAAGCAACACCTCAGGCTCGTTAGCTAGTGTCCTTGCAAGTGCTACTCGTTGCGCTTGACCAACAGATAACTCAGAACCAGTCTTCTTGGCTAAAGAAGCATCAAGATCCGCAAAACTCAAAAGCTTGTAAACTTCCTCGTCACTTAGCTTATGCCCTCTCAAGTCCGGACCATATCTCACATTATCCGCAACAGTCCCTATGAAAAAAACAAACCAAACATATCAAAAACAAGACATTGGTTCCAAACTCCACTAATCATACTATAGTAACGTTCAAAGAATCTAAACTCTGACTTGTTCACACCATTAAAGCAGACAACTTTATAGATTTCAATGGAGATTGAATGAAGAAAGGAGACAACTTTTTTACTGTACCTTCAAAGAGAACGGGGAGCTGGAAAAGCATACCGACTCTACGGCGGAGAGTGATGACGTCGATGCTTGTAATGTCTACGCCGTCCAAGAAAACGGTTGTTGCCGGAGGCTCCCAGAGACGGTTAAGAGATCTTAAAAACGTTGACTTTCCACTACCACTTGGACCGATCACACCAACGATCATCCCTTTGGGGATATCCATGGAGACACCTTTCAGAATCAGAGATCCGTCATCGGAGAGTCTGGTCAGGTCTTGAACACGTATCTTTGGTTCTTGAACAGAGAGAGCTTCCACGTCCAGGAGATGTTCTCGCAACATGCCATCGGATTCACCAGACAAGAGTGATGGCATGGTCTGTCTTGAGTGTTTGATGATTGAGCAATGCAAAGAAGAGTAAAGGTAATGTCTTGTTTATGACATTTGAGCACATATGAGTTCACAAGTTGAGGAATCAGTCTCAGTTGATAACAACTGTTTTATTATCTTCTTCCACTGACAATATACAACTAGTCCTTTTTGTTTTTAACTTTTACCTGTTCTGGTTATTACAAGATTTCTTCTGCTCATGTTTAAAGATATAGTACCATTCTATATATATTTACATATAAAATTCAACCGAAAGGAATCTTTTCAGGATTAGTATCTTCAGTTTGGATCTCCAATATTTGCTTCAGCTCATTGAAACTCAGTTAGAAGGAAAGTTTAAGAGTTAAAACTAGGGCTGGGCAATCGGGGTCCCAATCGGGTTTCGGTTCGGGTTCATTCGGGTTTCGGGTTTTCGGGTTCATGAATTTCAGCCTCATTCGGATATTATAAAAATTCGGATCGGATTCGGTTCGGGTTTAGTAACATTTCCAAGACCCGGTTGAACCCGAAATAGTTTCGGTTTCGGATACTAATCGGGTTATCGGTTCTAAAAATACTAATATATACTCAATTAAACTCACTATATTTTCAATCATTTTATTAAATTTGTGTATTTAGCTTCTACAAACCATATTGTTCTCCTTCAAAATAATATTGTGAAACTCATCTATCAACCATATAAGATTTGTCAATGAACTATATGTGACAACACTAAACATATCATGATTAATGACAAACCAAAGCCTTGTATGAACGAAATANTCACTATATTTTCAATCATTTTATTAAATTTGTGTATTTAGCTTCTACAAACCATATTGTTCTCCTTCAAAATAATATTGTGAAACTCATCTATCAACCATATAAGATTTGTCAATGAACTATATGTGACAACACTAAACATATCATGATTAATGACAAACCAAAGCCTTGTATGAACGAAATATAATACATAATGAAATATAAAAATTTAAAGTTAACAACTAACAATTCTATAAACATAAGAAGTGTTATTTAAACTTTTAAAAACAACATTATATAAACTTCAAAACAAATTTATTCTTAACTTAACTTCAAATGTAATGTCAATCATAAACATTAATATTAACCAAATAACACTATATATTAGACTAAATATTTGAGTTAATTATTTATATCATAACTAATTATTGTAGGTACTCAATAATATATTAATCTATTTTGGAAACATATTAGAAATTTAGATTGGATATGATACAAGTTTTTTTGGAATTTTAAAGTTTCAGGTTCTTTCGGATATCCATTTAATTTCGGGTTCGGTTCGGGTAATACCCATAACCCGAAATACCGTAAAACAAGATCCATTCGGTACTTATGTCGGGTTCGGATCGATTCGGGTTCTTTTTTATCGGGTCGGATTCGGTTCGGATTTTCGGGTTCGGTTTTTTTTGCCCAGCCCTAGTCAAAACTCAAAACTGAGAAGGAACACTTCAAACAAATGGTACTAGTGTCGTTACTGCATTTAATTCCATATTTTATACATGTTGGTTAAAAATGCAGTTTACTAAATGCTACTTAACAAAAGTATAACCTCAGCAGACTTCTAAGATCCATTTTTTTGTTTTTTTTTAGTAAGATGCTATAAGAATAGCTCCGGTGAAAATAATAACCCAGAGCCGAACTTTGTTGTTTCACTATATAACAAAAGTTTCCAAGCTGATGATATTCAAACACTCAATCGTTTTTTACTGCTCATCTGAAGCCAGTAACCTCATATGCTGTGTCAGAATCTCAAGATTCCTAGACCTCTCTGGAGTAAGCTGTCCAATATCATAGTCATCAGCTTTCTCCATTTCTTCTTCTATCAGCTCTAGCGCAACACTCTTGTCTAGTTCCATTCTTCCATCATCATCCTCCTCCTCCTCCAATGTTACATCATCGTTTCCTTTCTTCTCCTGCATATTCCTCTTCTTCTTTGAAGGGCTCAACAACAAAAGCTTCTCCCAAGCCCCATCATCATACAGATCAGGTATGATCAACGGCACACGATTCTCATCCAAACAGAACTTCAACATATCCGCATTACTCAAGAAATCATTTATGTCATTCGAGCTTGACTTTGTTGTTGTCCCCTCTGATTGTGGCTTTTGGTATGTTACTAAAGGAAGACCATTCGAGTTTGTTTCTCCTTCATCAGTAACTTCCTCCACAATCTTCGCTCCTCCTCCTCCTTCCGCCTTCCTCCAACTATTCTCCTTAGGCTGAAGCAACTGAACCAACAAACTTGGATTCTGCATAACCATCACCAAAAAAGAGAGCATCTCTTGTTGACTCTCTTCCATCCCTTGAACTCTGTCTTCCAAGTGTAACATCTTAGTGTCAGTGCTCTCCTGGTACTGCCTAACTTTGACAAGCTCCTGCGCCAACGCCTTCTTATCCCCTTTCAAGATATCAACTTCTTTCCACAGTTCACTCTTCTCAGACTTTTCCTGAGTAGGATCAGCTGTAGCTTTGCTCTGATGCTCACTACCACTCTGAACATTCTTCCTCCGTATAACATTCTTTAGCAACTCCTTTTGACCTCTCACAAACCAGTCATTTGCAAACTCATAACGATCCGCATCAACTTTTCTAAAACCCTGAAACCCAAAAAAAAAACACAAACTTTACTCTCACCACCACATTAATCAACCAAAAATTCTCACTATATTGAAAAAAAAAACATCCTTTCTTGATGATTAGCATATACCCATTTCATAATTGACATAAAGTAATCAAATTTCTAAAACCCTGAAACCAAAAAAAAAAAAAAAACACAAACTTGACTCTCACCACTCCATTAATCAACCAAAAATTCTCACTATATTGAAAAAAAAAACATCCTTTCTTGATGATTATCATATACCCATTTCATCATTGACATAAAGTAATCAAATTTCTCAAAAAAAAAAATCAACTTTACAGATTCCAAGATTTCAAGAAACAGAACAAAAACAACAAACAGAGCAATTCAAGAAACCATCATTGATAGAGAGAGATAAAGAGAGACTAACGTAGATATTGAGCTGGCGGATGAAGCTAGAGAGATTGCTGTGTTTGAAGTATTTAGGCAAGAGCTGAGTAGAGAAGACGGTCGTGTCAGAGATAACGAAGCTGTTATCTCCATTACTACTCCACGAGATGATTGAATCGGTTGAGGAATCGTCAACCATCTCGTAGCATTTCCTCAGGAACGGCGCCACTGAAGAAGAAGAAGACGAAACACCGTCCGATGATGATTTCACCATACCTCCTTGAGTCTCTGATTAAAAGTTTTGGATTTTTTTGAATTCTGGAACCTAATTGGTTTTGGTGTAATTAAAGAGAAGAAAAAAAGGAAGAGACTTTTAGTTTAGAGAATTAGGGGTAAAGTGGGGAAGGAGAGGATGAAACTTGTGCGCAGGGCAAGGGATCGCTCCTCGCAATCAAAACGAATTTTCAAGGAATTGAGAGGGTTTGTCGCTTACTTTAGATTTTTATTTTTAACTTTGTTTTTGAAATCGTTTCAGTTTAGATTTTTTTGTTTTTTTTTTTTTGGGAAACGCGTTCGAGTTTAGGTATTTCCAAATCTTTTGGCCCAATCTTAATCTCTTATAGGCCGGCCTTTTTATAGGCGTATAAAGTATAAACACACACAGTAGACTAATTCAGTTAAAATTATTTAATTGGATTGGTGAATCTCTATAATATTATTTGAGAAGTCAGTTTCCTCGCGTTTACGTTAACTCTTGCGATGGTTGATTACATAGATACCTTTAATAATTTGTTAGATTTTAAGATTATTATTTTTTATTTAGTTTTTTTACCTTTTTCCAAATAACATATACAATAAAAAGTAAATATTTCTAAAATTTTAGAAAAAATTTTAAAAACGAAAATATATGTATATAATATGACTTTATTAAAAAGGAAATTTCACAAAATAGTAATACCCCACTAATATATATATATATATATATATATATATTTTAAAATAACAGAAAATATATTTTCAAAAATTATATAAATATATATGTTCATGAACATCCAAAAAATTATCAGTTGCACTTTATTTTCTAATATTTTTTATAAATTAACATATAATTTGATAAATATTATGAAAATACATGTATATTTAAGTGATGAATAAAATTAATTTGATTTGACTTAACTAAAATAAATAGTAAATAAATATTATGAAATACATGTATATTTAAGTGATAAATAAAACAAATTTGATTTGACTTAACTAAAATAAAAAGTAATTATTCTTCAATTTTAATTTAAAATATATTATATTCAATATACTCACAAAATGAATGACTCGACTAATCTAATTTATATCCAAAATTAATCAACTAACTACAATAAGAACATAGAATTTTATAATAATAATAATAATATTAATAATCTATTTAGTTTTATACATATAAATTAGATGTTGACTCAAAGCATATTAAAAAGAAAAAGGAAATATTAAACAATTGCAATTTGTTTTTTAGAATATATATACATGCAAGAGACTTCAAAATATTATCATTATATTCATTTCTGTAATTTTGAATTAAACACTTCAGCTTATTATTTACTTCATTTTAAGCACAATATATATATATATATATATATATATTAAATTATACATAATAATATATTTACATATCTAAGAATATATTTACATATATAAAGACAATAACCAACCGAAATGAAAATAAGAAGATTAATCAAAGTTTTATTATATTTAGAATTAAAAATATTATAGCTGAATTAAAAAAATATATATTATCCAATATACCAAATTGATAACCAAACCGACTATTGATAAAAAAATAATAATTAAACCGGCCATAATATATCCAAAGTCATATGTATAATTAGAATAATATAATATTTATTAATATAAATTATACATATAAATTGATTAAAAACTAAAACTAAATACCAATCAATTATTTATTTCATTTAAGCACAATATATATTAAGTTATACATAATTTAACTATAATATATTTACATATCTAAGAATATAGTTACATATCTAAAGACAATAACCAGCCAAAATAAATATAAGAAAATTAATCAAAGTTTTATTATATTTAGAATAAAAAATATTATAGCTGAATTCGAAAAAATAGATATTATCCAATATACCAAATTGATAACCATACCAACTATTGATCCGAAAAATAATTACACCGACTATAATATATCCAAAGTCATATGTATAATTAGAATAATATAATACTTATTAATATATATTATACATATTAATTGATTTAAAACAAAAACTAAATATCAATCAATTATTATAAAATTGTACTTTTATGAATATTCGTGCCCGTGCATGAGCACGGGAAAATCACCTAGTGATAATTAAGTTGAACATGCCTTCGTGTATACAAGTTTACTTTGTTCGTTCTTAAGAAGTTTTATATGATGTCAATGGTGTTGTTAAAGTAGAAGTGTCTCCATAATGTTGAGGTGAATGAATAGTAGTTCTTTGTGTTGTTGGTGTACATGAAGACTACTCCAAGGTGTTAACTATTTTGATATGAAAAAGTATCTTAAAAATATTTTGAGATTTTATTGTTTTACAATATTTACATGTATTCATCAAATCTTATGAATATCATAATTGGGATTTTTAATTAGTATAAGATCCTTGATCCTTTTAAACCCAGGAAATATATTGTTTTCATTTACTAGTTTATTTCTTTTGTAAAAAGTACTCATAAATATACATTTTGTTCCCAACAAGTGACTTTCAGACCTAACCGTTGTTGAAAAGTCGTAGATGAGATCCATAATTATTGGTCCTTAATTCTATTAGACTCTTTTACCCTAATTAGCTCCACAATTAGTTTGATTGGAATAAGCCAATACCTGACCAAAGTGTAGCTTCTCTCGTTTAAAACAAAGAGACCTTCCAAAGGGATCCTCAAAATCACGAGACCGAGAGATGGCCAATGAAATACCTACCAAAGGGATCCTCAAGACCGAAGCTCTGAAACATGTTTGCTTTCCTTTTATAAATTTCTATCATGAACCGAATTTAAAGTTTTGTCGATCTGCAAAGTTTGGTTTTCTCTTAATTGATATATTTGGTGTTGTGTTCAAATGTCAAAATACATCTTGGAAACGTCAGCGTATCCAAGAGAGCATGAGCTGCTTAAGGAACTTCGTAAAACTACAGTCCAGAAATATGGCAATTTGTAACTCTTCTTAATCAAATAAATAAGATCCCTATAACCAGTTTATTTAAATTAAGAAATATTCTTACTAATTTATAGAATTTTCTTGGTTAATAAAAACGCAGAAGCGAGATGGAAGTTCCGGTTGATGAGGGCCTTCTTCTATCGATGCTTTTAAAGATCACTAACGCTAAGAACACTCTCGAGCTCGGTGTTTTCACCGGCTACTCTCTTCTCTCCACGGCCCTTGCTTTGCCTGAAGATGGCCACGTAAACTGTTTTTTCTTCTTCTTATTGGTGGCATGATCATACGTACTTTTGCATGTGCAATATACAACAATAAAAACACTTATTTATTTTATAGATTACAGCAATAGATATTGACAAAGAAGCCTACGAAGTGGGACTAGAGTTTATCAAGAAGGCAGGTGTTGATCACAAGATCAATTTCATCCACTCTGATGGTATTAAGGCCTTAGATCAATTGGTGAAAGACGTACGTGGAAAAAATATTATTCATATTATTTACTAATTAAAGCTTAAAATACTTTTGGCTAATGATCATATTCGACATTTGAGAAAAAGCAGAAGAAGGAGTTTGATTTCGCATTTGCGGATGCTGACAAGTCGAACTACGTAAACTTCCATGAGAGGCTTCTAAAATTGGTGAAGGTTGGAGGAATCATTGCGTTTGACAACACCTTGTGGTTTGGTTTTGTGGCTGAGGACGAAAAGGGAGTTCCTGAGCATATGAGGGAATATAGAAAGGCTCTTATAGAATTCAATAAGAAATTGGCTTCGGATACCCGAGTTGAAGTCTCTCAGATTTCTATTGGAGATGGTGTCACGCTCTGCAGGCGCCTTGTATGATCAAATTAAGACCAAAAGCTTGATTGTTTGGAATAAAACTGTTATCCTCTTCAGTAAAAATCACTACTTTTGGTCGATTTGGTGTTACTGAGTTTGATTGGTGTTACTGGTGCGTTTAATAAGATGTTTTAAGGACTTTTTACGTTTATTTGATTATTTTTTCCAACGTTTCTATATTGCATTTAAGTTTATGTCATTGATGACGATTTTGTTTATAATTTTGATACCATCTCCAGTAGAGACTTGAGATTGTGTGATGGAAGCAAAAAATACTACTAGTACTATAACCAAAAACCAAAGTTAATAATAAAAATAACTGTTTTATACTTCAATAAATGGTACTGATTCAGTGTCATTGATTTTTTGTGCTTGTTACTATGTTCGTTTTTATGGTCTAATATTAAGATTTAAGAGCCGGTTCATCTTGAATAGTGAGATAGATTCGGCTTGTTGTGGTGAAAATTACAACGATGGATTGATTAAGTAGCATAAGATCTAATTCAGTTATTCTACGTGATACTAGATCGCGTCGTTGTACATTGGATTGAAACCTTGTGTACTGTGTGCGTAACATATTTACTGTTTTTTTTTTACACTTTCAAGTTACAAAGATGATTCCAATTTGGATGCCTATCATCAACTTGTGGTAAAACATATCAAAGCATTGTTGGGAGTTGGAACAATGAGTAAGTCAAAAAAAGTTGGAACAATGAGGGTTGATTTGTAATTACAGAAAACAAATTCATGACAATCCAAAACATAAGGAAACTTTGAGGGTTTATTTGATAATTTTGGATTAACAGTGACACTTCCAAACAAGAAATTTACTTTTTTTCTTTTGAATATTGAATGGCCAGATTATACCTGGCAATGGCGGCGAATCTGATTCGATTTTGATTTACACTGTATAACTTAAGCCCCTCTTCTTCACTCACTTGAAGATCCTCACAGGTGAGATGATTGTTCGACTTTGATATTTGTGTTTTGTTTCACTGTTTGTTCTCAGATTTTCTGGGTTTACCTGATACTGAGATATGTTCGCGTCTTTGTGCATTTTGGTTGATGGGTTATGAGAAAGATTTGTCCTTTTGCTTTGTGTAGGTGAATTTGGGGTTAAAGGTTTATACTTTTGCAAGTGAAAATGGGGAAGAAGGAGAGAGCTAGACCAGAGAAGTTGTCTGTTTACCTTTACATACCTAACATTGTTGGTAAGTCTTTCAACTCCTTCTTGTTTGTTTTATTAGCGTGAGAGTGATTTGCTGTGATGAATGATTATTGAATTCCTTTGGTAGGGTACATGAGAGTGCTCTTGAACTGTGTTGCCTTTGCTGTCTGTTTCTCCAACAAAACACTTTTTTCGATCCTTTATTTCTTCAGGTCAGACGATACTTCATTTGCTACGTCTTCTTTATTGTTTTTATTATGATTTTTGAGTAGTGTCGTTAATAGTCTTCTTTGATCTCTACAGCTTTTGTTGTGATGCTGTGGATGGCTGGTGCGCTCGTAGATTCAACCAAGGTTTCTCTCTGCTTCTTGTTTCGTTATTTTGAAACCACACTTTAATTGCCTTTGATCAACATTGGATCTATTAGTCAAGACTTGCCATTACTGTAATATGTAGGAAGCTTGAACTTTTGACTCACTTCTCCTTATTTCTTACTCAGTTTCAACATTTGGAGCTGTTCTCGACATGGTCACAGATAGGTGAGTTTTCTTCTACTACATATATGCAATGATCATCCTAATCTGTTTGTTAATTTCTGACGTTTTCCTGGTGGTGCTTTGTTAATAGAGTTAGCACAGCCTGTCTACTCGTGATTCTCTCTCAAGTCTACAGGCCTAGCTTGGTCTTCCTTTCATTGCTGGCTTTAGATATTGCTAGTCATTGGCTGCAGATGTACAGGTAAAGCCAAAACCACTCTTTCATTCTCTTGTATATATACTTTTCAAATATTAACCTGGGGACTTTTAATTAATGCTCCTCTTCTCCGCAGTACGTTTCTAGCAGGGAAGAGCAGCCATAAGGATGTGAAAGACAGCACAAGCTGGCTTTTCAGACTCTATTACGGAAACAGGATCTTTATGTGTTACTGCTGTGTTTCTTGCGAGGTGATTGAACTGTCTATAAACAGACTCTTTATATCCACGTTAATCATGTCTTCTAAAAGAGCAAAATCTTTTGAAACGTGCAGGTTCTGTATATCATCCTTCTTCTCATTGCAAAGAACCAAACCGAAAATCTCCTGAATGTTAGCGTCCTCTCCCTTATTTTTGTGTTTAGTCACTATCTACTCAACTATTACTAAAGCGTATGGCTCATCTGGTTGCAGGTTGTAGTCGCCACTTTAACTCAGATATCACCACTCTCTTTTCTACTGGCTTTGACATTGTTGGGTTGGTCGATGAAACAGACAGTCAATATCATTCAGATGAAAACAGCTGCAGATGTCTGTGTACTGTATGATATAGAGAAGCAGCACAAGAAGCCTTGATCTTCCTTTCCTTCTTTTTGTCTTCTGAACCTGCAACTCTGTGCTGTGTAGAAAGTAGAAACATAACCCTATGTTTTTTAAATGAAAGTGAAAAGAATATTGATTTGCCTTTTGTTTGTAACCATAATCTGATCACAACAGTTTAATCTATGTTTATGTTGATAATGTACACGTCAGCATTATCTCGTGTTTTTGGAAACGTAAGGTCCAAACTCAGATAAAATACACAAAGAAGCAGAGTTGTTTTTGTCACTCATCGTCAACCACACCGAGAACAAAACAAAAAAAACGTAAGATAAAATGATCATGCAAAACCGACCATTGGATCTTCTTTTAAAAGCTAAGATCTCCTTTGTTTCCAACTTCCTCTCCACAGAAACACTTGTTCTCTCCCATGGCGAAACCAGTGGCTATTGAAGTGTACAATCCTAATGGAAAGTACAGAGTGGTCAGCACCAAACCGATGCCTGGCACTCGCTGGATCAACCTCTTGACCGACCAAGGTTGTCGTGTTGAGGTAAACTCTTAACTCATTTCCTTCTAGTTTCTACACATCAAGAAACATTACTAAAAGCTTTATGCCTCTATTTTTAATATATAGATATGCCATTTGAAGAAGACAATCTTGTCTGTAGAAGACATCATTGATCTGATAGGAAACAGGTGTGATGGAGTCATCGGTCAGGTAATGAAAATGAAAGAAGAAAGAAAGACAAGTGTCTGTTTATGTAACATGTATGAAAAAGTAAAGACCGGTTTAAGTCTTTTTTTTTGTTTATAGTTGACGGAAGATTGGGGAGAGACTCTGTTCTCTGCTCTGAGCAAAGCAGGAGGGAAAGCTTTCAGTAACATGGCTGTTGGTTACAACAACGTTGATGTTGAAGCAGCCAATAAGTATGGTATCGCCGTTGGTAACACTCCTGGAGTGTTGACTGAGACTACTGCTGAACTAGCAGCTTCTCTTTCTCTTGCTGCTGCGAGAAGGATCGTTGAAGCTGATGGTTTCATGAGAGGTGGCTTGTACGAAGGATGGCTTCCTCATCTGTAAGTCAAAACCAAGAAAATCAAGAAACCGGTTTAAAATCGAGAAACCTGTTTAGAGTCCTTGGAGTTTGTCTATTGTGAAGTTTGAGAGGCTCAGTTAGTTGTTTGGGTTTTTGGTAGGTTTGTGGGGAACTTGCTTAAAGGACAGACAGTGGGAGTTATTGGAGCTGGACGTATTGGATCTGCGTATGCTAGAATGATGGTAAAGCCTCTGATGCATGACATTTGTAACTTTGATCCAAATTATATACACATAAGGTTTCTTTGTTGACATGTTGATTTGTACACAGGTTGAAGGGTTCAAGATGAATTTGATCTACTTTGATCTTTACCAATCCACTCGTCTAGAGAAATTTGTGACAGGTTCTTAAAGTTTTTATACAGTTTACTCTTTATCTTTTTTTTTTTGAAGTTTATTATATATTGAGACAATGGTCATTTTGCAGCTTATGGACAATTCTTGAAAGCAAATGGGGAACAACCTGTGACATGGAAACGAGCTTCTTCCATGGAAGAGGTGCTGAGAGACGCTGATCTGGTAACTGAACTTCTTTTGGTAACATTGTTAGTGTATCTCTCTTTAGCTAGAAGCTGAACTGATTTGTGTCAACAGATAAGTCTTCACCCTGTGTTGGACAAAACCACTTACCATCTTGTCAACAAGGAGAGACTTGCCATGATGAAAAAGGTGACTTTTGTTTTTTATTTCACTTGAACTTTCTTTTTTGTTGATCTATGTTTTGATTAAATTTTTGTTGCTTTTCAGGAAGCAATCCTTGTGAACTGCAGCAGAGGTCCTGTGATCGATGAGGAAGCTCTGGTCAATCATCTAAGGGAGAACCCAATGTTCAGAGTTGGTCTTGATGTGTTTGAGGAAGAGCCTTTCATGAAACCAGGGCTTGCTGATATGAAGAATGCCATTGTTGTTCCTCACATTGCTTCTGCTTCCAAGGTTTCCCAACTCAAAACGTTTCCTTGTATGTATGTGTCTCAATAGAATAAACAGAACTGACGTAAATGTTTCTTCTGATTGATATTATGACAGTGGACTCGTGAAGGAATGGCTACCCTTGCAGCTCTCAACGTCGTCGTATGCATTCCCCATCCCACAACCCTTTTTTAATAAGATTAAAATTACAAAACTTTGATCATCTTTTCTGAAAATGTTATGAACAGGGAAGGATCAAAGGATATCCTATTTGGAGTGACCCGAACCGGGTCGACCCGTTCTTGAACGAAAATGCTTCACCACCTAATGCTAGCCCAAGCATTGTCAACTCAAAAGCCTTAGGTATTGAACACATTAATACAGACAAACAAACCATAAGTAAAAGATTTCCTCATTCGTTATATTACACTCTAATGTATATTCTTTTGGGTGGTTTCATTTCAGGATTGCCTGTTTCGAAGCTGTGAGTTTAAAAGTATGAAGAAGGGGAGACTTGGAAGAATCATGTTAGTAAATATCTGATGGTCTCAAGTTGTGTTCCATGCAATGTATTGCAACAACCATACTGGATCATAAATAACTCTTTCTAAAGTGTTGTTTGGTTTTAAAATTTACTGAGACTTTTCACCAATCCTGCTCTCTATATCATGTTTTATCTTGGATTTAATATCACCCACTTCTTTATTCCATGAGTGTTGCTATATATGTATAACCTCTAAAGACTTCAAGTCATAGGATGGATCTTGAAACACTGACACGGAAATCTTGAAAAATACGAACATTAAGAGTTTAATGAGTTAAAGGCCTTACACTACTACTAAAGACGAGAACCTTCAAAGACTTTTCTTCTCGTTAACCTTTGACATTAGACTAAGAAACGAAACTAATTTCTTCTTTGCTTTAGCAACTTCCTCTTGAGACTGGACATACTCATCTGAAACACAGCTTAAAGCACACACAGAGCAGTAAAAGTTTCCAGCATCATCATAAACAGGCGGCGAATCCACAACACATTTCTCATGAACCATGACTGTACACCCTTCCCTAGAGCAAAACAAGAGCTTCCCACTCTCATTGCATTGAATACACTTGTAAATATTCTCTGAAGGACTTGACACATTACCATCACTTCCCTTTTCAAGAGACCCCTGTGATCTACTAATCTCAGCTCCATCAGGGCCATGGGATCTACTAATCTCATCAGCTCCATCACCAGGGCCATGATCAAGTGGTTCTGGATCAGTCACTGGAGATGTAACTTGATCAACTCTCATACCCTCTTCCTCTTGAGAAGGCGACACTTCAGCCTCCATCTCATTGTATGTTTCAAGCATCTAATCCAAAAAAAAAACACAAACTTTAAAAGCCTTAACTCATCTAAAGGGGAACTCTAAATCAATCACAGTACCAGTTCCAAATCACATTTGGGCAAACAAAGGAGCTTGCTTTTGATAAAAGGCAGAACATTCCACTTAGACAGTCCCGGTGCACCTGGTTTCAGCTCAGACAAGGGTATCTTAAACAAGAAGAAAGTTAATCTAAGTAGTAGACAAAGAACAGTCACATTGAAACAATGTAGGGTTTTACTTTTACCTCATCTAAGATACATTGAAGTACATGTTCACAGGTCTGGGAAGAATCAAACTCAATCTTTGAGTTAGAATCAGAAGCAGAAGAAACATCTTTAGAAGTGGAAGTGTCAAACAAAGAGGCTAAGCATCTGAAAGCAACCATCTCATTGGTCTGTTCACCTAGATCCTCAGGAAGCTCCTTCGGTCCCATTTCAAACACATCTACACCCAAAAAAAAGGGAATCTCAGAAATTAAGAATATATATTCAAAGGTTGTAATTTTTTTTTGCAATTACCGTGAAGCATCCAGAGCTCGGGTTTGAATTTCGCAATGTACTCGATGACCCGAATCCAGTTATCGAGTTCTTCTGTAGACACCATTATCGAGGAAGAAGAGAGGAGAGTAGAGGAGAAAGAGTTAATTTTGCAAGAATCTGGTGATTTCACCATTACTACTAGAGTAAAGAGGAAGATGGATAGTTTTTTTTTGTAGAGATTTCACCAAGGCCAGGCCCGTTATCAGGCCCAATAAGAACACTAGGCAAATTTCTATGCTCTTGATTAATAAACAGCATAAAATACTGGTCACATGGGATTAGATTAGTTTAGTGATTTTTTAAAACGGGCTACACAGATCAGTTTAAGCTCTGCACATTTAACTCCTGACCTGTTTTAAGTCAGATCCGTATAAAGCCCGTTTATACTTGTAACCCTTTTAGACCTGTTTATTTTTTTAAGTCGGGATGCCTTGTTTGAACCAATTAGGGCAAATTAACCCTCATTGAAGGATTTCATTCATCAGGTTTATGTCATTTTCCAGCTCTGGTTTGGTTATTTTTTATTTTTTTTCGATTAACATGGAGTATCCCGAACCTATGGAAAGACTCAGACTAATCCTCAATAAGAAATGCAATCCACGGATAGATCATATCTCCAAATACGAAAATAAGTCCTTATATCCATATAGATATCTAAGAATAATATGATTTAGTTTTGCTTAGCAGATGTAGATCAAATTTGAAACGTGTTAGCGTCTCAACTCTTTCCTTATCACTCGACTTTATTGTCCCGAACAAATTAGGAAAATTACCTTTTAGTTTTTATACCATACTATTTCACTATTTGTCTAACATATCGATCAAATTTGTTTTCACATGTTAAAGAATGTCAACTATATTTTCAAAAGTGAAGATATACAGTGACTCCACACAAAAAATGTTACGCACCATACCAATACGGATAACATCGACCATATAAATTTACAATGAAACGATACTTATTTGAGTTTGTTTCTAATGTCTATGTAGCTATCTTATGTTTTATGCGATTACTTAATTATTATGCTGTTTATCTGATATATATTCATTGCATCAACAAAGACGCATTGGCAGAGATAAAAGCAAAACTAAAAGAATTTTTAAGTTGGAATCAGTAGAGAGACACATAGATTATAAAATATAAACAAACTAATTTACGTTTATTATCATTTATTTTGGCATCTTTTGACTTGTTCTTGGATATTAGTGCAAAGCATCTCCTTTGGAGATCGATGGGCATATATCATAGTACCTTGATTAACTATTAATTTATTTGATTGGCCTACGATTTCGTAGGTTCTCAATTTCAAAGAAATAATCGACTTTTTAAAAGAAAAAATATATATTCTATGTAGTAACTAGTAGCTAGCCTACTAGGACCACTGTAATAATAATCACTAATAATTCATTACTAGCTTATATATTTAAAACGTATGTGTAGTAGGAGTCCATCGAGTATGGTACGGGTCCCTACGGGAGCATATCAGCTCAGCTGCTGATTAGTGAGTGAAATCAATTATTTATGTTTTTGTGTAATGAGTGAATCAAATTTAGTAGAGAAGTTATAGTTTGCTAATTAATTAGTTGTATTAGTTTAAAATCATCAATATTGTTTATTATTACCAAAAGAATAAACTTCCACTATCACAAAGATTTTGCCTAGTCTATATCTTATAATGTTAAGATTCTTATTTCACAGTGACAAAAAATTCTTATACCCTAGAAAATAACCTATTTACTGCTTTAAAGAAGAAACTTAATTTATTTTACAACTAATTTTGTTACAAGATTTTTTCAAATTTAATTTTTGTTACAATCTTACTCTTTGTTTTTATTAAGCCTACATAATTTTTATTAAACCTACCAAATTTGTCTCGGTAATTTGATTTCTTTGTTCTAAATAAGCACATGTTGTCGCACATTCTTGTACTATTTTCTTAAATGTATACATATACATATATGTTGACAAAACATATAGTTTTTGGTTTGTGGTATTATCGTCGATATTACTATCTCAATTCAACCCACATAAAATATGTTGTTGACAAAATAGTATACATACATGTTATTAAGTTTTAGAGGGTTTATGTTTCGTTTGTAATTTCTATCTCTCAGTAGATCTCTAATATGTCACTAGTTTTTATCTAAAAGTAGAAGCAAAATTTGGTGTTAATATTTTGTTGCTTTTGCATATATATATATTGGCGTTTTGGTGACATCCAGTAAAATTAGAACAATACATAGTCAAAACTCTTTTTGCAAAATAGTTTTGGGTCTTTGATATATTCAAGCTGCAAACTGGGACATGGTAAACCAAAATCTTTTCAAGCTGGAAACTAGGACATGGTAAACCTGTTTATATATTAAAAAAGAAAAAGAAATGGTAAACCTGTTCTTCCTATGGAAGAGTGATTTTGACACCAAGCTAAATATTAAACAGAAAGTCTAATTAGTATACCTGTTATTATTACAATGGATATAATATAAGTACTACGTGTTAAGTGCATGACCTATATAAATGATAGGCATCAGAGTATACATTCAAAGTATAGAAGAAAAGAGCCAAATCATAATGGGAAAAGTAGAGATTGTTCTTAATTCACTTCCTATGAGTGGAGGAGATGGCCCCAACAGCTATTCTAAGAATTCCCATCTGCAGGTTTCTTTGTCAGCTTATCTTTTCGTTGTTCTCTTCTTCATATTTCATAAAACTAGGAACTTCAAAAGATGTTTTATGAATTGGTTTGTTGCATCTGATTTAACAAACTGGATATAGAAACATTGCATTTGATTGGTATATCAGATAATTAATTAGTGAGATTCATACCGCTGAATAAAAACAGTGACCAATAAATAAAATTTCCGAATAACAAATATAAAATTTTAAAAACCTTGATATATAGATGATGTTTCCTTGTAATTAGAAATTGTTATATATAACAAAATTAATAGGTGGTGCATCATTCTTAACATTTAATATACTGAATTTAGCTATCAGGAAAGTCCTCAATATTGAAAAGAGTTACATTTTTGGAACTCATTATATTTTTGTTTCACAAATTTATTTTAATTGTCTTAAATCATTTAAAACGAGATGGAACTAATGTTTATAATGATTGTAAATACATGTTTATTTATATTAGCACTTACTTGTAAAAATGTAAACTCCATAAGATTGAGATTTTCATAAAATATGAAGAAAAAAAAGTTTGTTTTGAAATATTTCATTTTTTTAGTCTATGAAAACAAGATTAATCTAAGAAAATGATCAGTCAATCTTTGAATAGACATAATACTTGGCTGGCTATTCGGATCAATTGGAAGCCCATTTCTTTAAAGAAAAATAGAAATTGACTTCCTTTCATAATCTCTTACTTGGTTCCTTGTTATGTACTTTTTTTTGTAAAGAAACTTCAGTGACGATATTAAAATGTTCAGAACACATCGAGCCACACAAAAAAAAAAACACCGAAGATTACTAGGCGGATTCATTGTCTTACGAAAAGCAAATCTTTAATTAACTAGAGGAAACTGTATTGGTTAGGATCGCATCTCACCAGTGCAGCAAAATAGTGTTATGTATCATGAAAAAAACAAAGTATCAACTCAATCAAATTCGTTTTTTCAAAAGTAAAATTTCTTTTGATTTTAAGGTGTTTTCGTTACTTTGTTTTCCAGTGATATCTGTTTTTTTCCGGTTATTAAAAAAAAAAGATCGGTCTTTTAATCGTTTTTTTTTTTTTGCAATTGGAATATATAACTAGCACGTCTTAAAAATAAGAAATAACATCAAAGTACAATAATCATTTGACTACTTTTGGTTTGGACAGAGAAGATCAGCAAGTTTGTTGAAAGAGACAATAAACAAGTTGATAACGGAGAAACTAGATGCAAAAACCCTAATCTGTGACTCCAACACAATCCGCATAGCTGACCTTGGTTGTGCTACTGGACCAAACACATTCTTTCTCGTCCAAGACATCATCAAATCTGTTGAAACCACCTTAGAGCCAAACTCCACAAAGCCAGAGTTCCTCGTCTTCTTCAACGACCTCACGAATAATGACTTCAACACTCTCTTCACCTCTCTCCCTCAAGACCGGAGTTACTTTGCGGTCGGTGTCCCCGGTTCGTTCTATGGCCGTGTTCTTCCTCAGTCCTCCGTTCATATTGTGGTGACGTTGGCGGCCACACACTGGCTTTCAAGTGTTCCATATGAGCTCTTGGACAAAAGCTCCAAGGCATGGAATAAAGGAAAGGTTCACTACTCAAATGCGGCGGAAGAAGTGGTGAAGGCCTATGAAGACCAGTTTGGTCGGGACATGGAGAGGTTTCTAGAAGCTAGGGCTCAAGAAATAGTGAGTGGAGGTCTTTTGGTTGTTGGAATGTGTGGAATTCCTGAAGGAATGCCTTTCTCTAATCTTGCCGATGGTATCATGTATACTTCCATGGCTGATGTTCTCATTCAAATGCAATCCCAGGTAATTCTTCATAAATCA